TAAGAATTTTACTTACTCCTCCGAAGAGTTTTAGATTAGGGTTAAGTATTAAGCATAGGAACATAAAGTAACATGAGGCAATCCTGCAAGACATAGAGAAAGAAACTTTAGCACAAAACCTTTTAGAGGGAAAGTTGAAAGAGCGGTTATCGCACATGCAATTCAATTTACATTTACTGTATGATGCTTCAAAACGCTTCCAAACAAATGGAAGTTTCCACACGAATGTGGAAGTCTCCCTCTGTGACGCGGATGCATTTAAGCCAAGTGATGGACCAGCCCAGTTCTTTCATTGCAGAAGTTAATTTGCACATCATTAACTGATTTTGACAGGGAGTCTATTTCACACAGAGCCACTACTCTGCTCAGAATTGTTTTTGTCTCTCGCTTTCGAGGATTGCCAGTTGAGTGTTTGTGTCGTCCTTTCCGCGATCCCTATCTGAAACTGGCAAAATAAAAGCAGATGATCATCTTATCGAATTGGACGCTGAGCTGGATTACTGCATTGCTTTCCATGCAGGAAGTGTTACAGTGTATGATAGACCATTTGATTCAATCTTCCAGCGATGATAGGTTTTATACCATTGGAGACTGAATGAAATTGCTGTCGGTGAATCACAGATACGAGGTGCAGTGAGTTTTGCTTCAGTTCAATGGCAGAAGTCCTGGGGCGTCGGAGGTGAATGAGCAATGAGGTCTGATATGTTGGTGTTCGATCAGAATCCCGTGAAAAAAATCAAACTTCTGGACCATCGAGTGCGCTGAAGAATCCAATCACGTTAAGAAATCTGTTAAGAAATATCGCAAGTTAGAACTAAATATTCAAACCCACTGCACCCCAACATTATCGCTATTTTAATGGATTAAGCAGCAGGTTTCTGGTTCCCGGGATTGATTTGGTTCTCGGTCACCTCTGGTCAAAAGAGTCCAATGCGAGTTTTCAACTTTATTCGCCACCTCTCCATGATACGCAGGAAACAGCTTTACAAAAACTAATAGGTTTGGCTTGCACATTCAACTCAAGTTGTTGTAAGACAGTTGTGTTCAGCCACTGATTCTCGGAAATAATTGCTCAACGTTTGCTTCAGTGAAACCTCTAATGTTATGGTCCAGATACAACTGGGCACCAACCACTGAACTTGGGATAGAAAATGCTTTTAATTTTTCCGTAGGTAAGCTTCAATTACGATGGTCTTATAATAATAATAATAATAATAATCTTGCATTTGATATAGAGCTTTTCACGTCGGGAGGACGTCCCAAAGCGCTTCACAGAACACACTGTAAAGTGAATTGACTGTATATTTGTGGGCGAACGCGGCAGCCAATTGCGCACAGCAATGTCCCACAAACAGTCGTAGATTGAAAATGACCAATTTATTATTGTTTTTGGTCTTGGAGGGATTATTATTAGGCTCTGTGTGGAGTAAGGAAACTTCCCCAAGATTTCGCCCTCTGCCTGGAAATGAACTCAGGTCTCTCGCTTGCAAAGTGAGCGCTCTAACCACTGAGCTACAGGACTTGATAACGTCTGTGCCGTTTTTTTTCTGCTGGAGTTGTTTTGACGCCTTACAATTCCTTACAAAGAAGACCAAACGTTTTCATGGATCATTAAGGATATTATCACACAGGTTTCTGAGTTCATTGATTATAAGTGATGTGAATTAGAGTACCATTGGAATTGTCCGCCCTTCCCACTGTTATTGTTTTGTGCTCAGCACACAAGACACCAGTGAGAAAACACTTATTCTATTGTTATTCTATAACTTGTTTTTTTTTGCTTGATTCTAATCAATTTAGTGATCTCTGACATCTCTATTTGCTCTATGACTGGAATGAAACGTTCAGTACTGTGGGTAGGAATGTGCGTCTGGCTGTTTAACAACATGTTCACTGCACCAGAACAGTCCGATTATCAACAGCAGAAGTCTAATCATCAGCCATTAGTTCTCATCATTAGTCACGGAAGAGTTATCCCGCCAGTACAAAAGCGAAGAGCGACTTCAGTCGACTTTCAGAAAATCTGAAAACACAAACATGAATATTGATTAAATATAGATATTGATAGCTATCTTACGGGGTCTTTGTTTTCTATTCACAGAAACATGAGGTTACATGGAAGAGTGTTCAAATGACTCCTAGTCCCCACCCCAACCACACACACACACACACACACAGATTGTAAATACATCGCACATTGATCTGCATCATCACACTTTAAGTATCAGATATAAAATATTAGAACAATGAACATGCTGAAGGACAAGAAAAGGAGATGATAGCCCGAAGGAAGGTTCTCCCAGTGTCCTGACCAGCAATTCTCCAGATTAAAAATAATCATGAATCGTGACTGGTCGTGGGACATTGTTGGGCATGAGTTGGCTGCAAATACATAGTCACTACATTTTACACTTGAAGCGGTCTGAGATGTCCTGGCGATGTGAAAGCCCACTGGGCAAGGTAGCCGGCCGAATATGGATGAAACAAAATGCATTCAAAATCTATGATCAGCAAAAGATAAAATGTTTCAGGAAATAAATTGACAATGTATGTGAGCAAACAATTGAAAGATGTTATAAGATATATATATATAATAATAATAATCCTCGCATTTGATATAGCGCTTTTCACGTCTTCAAGACGTCTCAAAGCGCTTCACAGAATAAACTGTAAAGTGAATTGACTGTGTATTTGTGGGCGAAATGCGGCAGCCAATTGCGCACAGCAGCGTCCCACAAACAGTCGTGGATTGAAGTAACCAAACTATTATTTTTTATGCTATATGATTCACAGGCTTAAAGGTAGCATCTTTTCATAACTGAGATGTTGACTCAAAAGTGGGAAACTCTGTTTTACCCAACAAACAAAATCTTTTAAAAGAAAACCACGCACAGAAAAATGATAGTATGGAACTTAGACTGATGAGTTGAAAAACGTCTATGGAGCTGGGACCTACCAATAGTATTCTATAAAGACGATGAGCTGCTGCAGTGACCGTTAGTAAATTGCCCTTTGATTATCTGAAATGGAGTTAGTTGGCGGGTATCACTGAGTCTCTTCTCTTTCGTGTTGAATGGTCCTGTCAGTCGTCCAAACGGTAATGGAGCTCTTTTCTCTCCAGCAACCTCTCAGGACGTAACCCAGAAGACCCGCATTACAATATCTCTCTCTTCGTCGCACAAAACGAGGCTTCGAGTCACCTTAAATGCATCCGAAAAGTCTATGACATATCCGTTATGTCAGATAATCTCCCAAACTGCGGCAGCTGGGATGAAATAACGCGAACGGTGACTGTCTGTGTCAATCTGTGATGCTACAAATATCACAAATTAACGCTTGCTCTTTTGCCACCACTTTAATTTTCCCTTCGGGAACCGGAAAACCGCACTAACTTCTTACGTTTTGAACATGTTTAAATTCGCGATTGTCATAATTCCTGCCATCGGTTTCGATGACAAAGTAGTTCTTGGACAAGGCGATCTTCACAATTATTATTATTATTATCACTATAATATACATTTTGCGAATTTAGAATTGATCTTAAATCGGCCAATGTTTTATTTAGAAAGCGTACATGTTGAGTCATCGCCACAAGCTATGCAGACACTCGTGAGTTTTTTTTGTGTGTCGATAGTCGAGTGACAACATTTATTATTCCCAATAGATTTTTTCTTGGTGGAGGTGGGGTGGGGGGGGGGGGGGGGGGGGGGGGGCACGGAAAGACCCTTTATAAACCGGTTATGCCGTTTATTTACAAAATGAGAGATTTTCAGCACCTTTTTACTTGAACCAAGAGTGCCATCTATTGGAAGCCCAACAATGATTTCGGTGGATCAATTTGGCCGATTAGAATCGTTTCTTTTGTTACGTTAATAAACGGTAATAAATCCCTCTCTTACTTTCCAGTCTATCTGGACAAGACAGGATAAGCGTCTCATCCCGTTCCCATTTTGTCACCGATCCCTTTCTGAGCGGCTTCAAGCCGGTCGGACCCTTCGTAGGATTTTGCCGCAGAGTGGAGCGAGCGTGTATTTTTGGGGCGGGGCGAGGCGAGGCGGCAGCCAGTTTTGTGCTCGGGAGAAAAAAATAATCCTTGAGTTTGATCTCAACGCCTTGATCAAAGCCCGTCAGGACTTCTCAAAGCGCTTCGCGGTACGTGCCGCGGTATGTGTCTACGGTGTGCAGTTTTGGTCTGACTGTGTGCAGTGTTGGTCTCCTTATTTAAGGAAGGATGTACGTGCCTTGGAGGGGGTGCAGCGTAAGATTTTCTCGGTTAGTACCAGGGACGAAGGGGATGAGTTACGAGGAGAGGCTGAACAATTTGGGCCGATATTCTCTGGAATATAGAAGAATTAGAGGGGATCTTATAGAAACCTATAAGATCATCAAAGGGCAATGATAGAGTAGATAGTTGTGGATTGTTTTCCCCGGTTGGAGAAACTAAAACCAGGGGTCACAACCTGAAAATCAGAGGCCAACCCTTTCGCACTGAGTTGAGGAAGAACTTCTTCACTCAAAGGGCCGTGAAGGTGTGGAACTCACTACCCGAAAGGGCTGTTGACGCTCAGTCCTCGAACATGTTCTCGGCCCACACCGCAGGGAGGAAAAACGCCCTTCTCTCTTCACGGTGGGGGGGGGAGTGGGGGGGGGGGGGGTTGTGTCAGGGCTGTGAGATTGATTGATTTGATTTGATTGATTGGATTTATTGATTGGATTGATTGGATTTATTGATTGGATTGATTTGATTGAATTTATTGATTGGATTGATTGGATTTATTGATTGGATTGATTGGATTTATTGATTGGATTTATTGATTGGATTTATTGATTGGATTTATTGATTTGATTGATTGATTGGATTTATTGATTGGATTTATTGATTGGATTTATTGATTGCATTGATTGGATTGATTTATTGATTGGATTTATTGATTGTTTGATTGTTTGATTGATTGATTGATGTGGTTATTGAACGAAACCGGAAGCGGAAACAGAGCGGGTCGGGGGGGGGGGGGAGGGGTTGCGTTGCCGCCGTTACCAGGACAAACAGCGGCGTCACCTGGAGGAGGAGAGGAGAGGAAGAAGGAGAAAAAGAAGAGGTGGAGCCGCCGTCGCCGCTCACCACAGATGGCGGGAGCGCGGCCCCGAGAGGCAGCGGCGCCGCAGTGACATGGACAGTGAGTGCGGGGCGCGGGGCTACCGGAGGCCCGGGGATCCCAGCGGGGCTAGGCCTCACCCCCCCTGTCACCCTCCCTCACCCCCCTCTCACCCCCACCCCCCACCTCACCCCCCTCACCCCCACCCACCTCACCCCCCCAACCCCACCTCACCCCACCTCTCACCCCCTCACCCCCTCACCCCCACCCAACCCCACCTCTCACCTCCCCCTCACCCCCACCCTCACCCCCTCACCCCCACCTCCCCCACCTCACCTCACCCCCCTCTCACCCCCTCCCCCCCTCTCACCCCCTCACCCCCCCTCCCCCCCCTCTCACCCCCCTCACCCCTCTCCCCCCTCACCCCCTCTCACCCCACCCCCCACCTCACCTCCCCCCCCCTCACCCCACCTCCCCCACCTCACACCCCCTCACCCCCCCTCACCCCCACCTCACCCCCTCTCCCCCCACCCCCCACTCACCCCCAACCTCACCCCCCTCACCCCCTCTCACCCTCCCCCCCTCACCCCCTCTCACCCCCCTCCCCCCCTCACCCCAACCTCACCCCCCACTCCCTCTCCCCCCCACCCACTCCCACCTCACCCCCACCTCTCACCCCCTCCCCCCCTCTCACCCCCTCACCCCCCTCTCCCCCCCACTCAACCCCACCCACCCCCAACCTCACCCCCTCACCCCCCACCTCTCTCCCCCCCACCCCCTCACCCCCACCCACCTTAGCCCAACCTCTCCCCCCACTCTCTCACCCCCACCTCACCGCCCCCCACCTCACCCCAACCTCAGCCGCCACCCACCACTTCCTCCCGCTCCCCCCCGCATCCTCCCCCTCATCTCAACACACCACCTCCCGCTCCCCCCCACCTCCGCCCCCCCCCCTCCCGCTCCCCCCCCCCCCCCCCCCCACCACCTCCCGCTCCCCCCCCCACCTCCCGCTCCCCCCCACCACCTCCCGCTCCCCCCCCCACCTCCCGCTCCCCCCCCCACCTCCCGCTCCCCCCCCCCACCTCCCGCTCCCCCCCACCACTCCCGCTCCCCCCACCACCTTCCCGCGCCCCCCCCACCTTCCCGCGCCCCCCCCCCACCTCTACCTCCCCAAACCTCTCCCCCCCCCCACTTGCTCCCGCTCCCCCCGCAACCTCTCCCCCCACCTTTCCCCCTCACCATCTCCTCCTGCTCCCTCCCCCACCGCACCATCTCCGCCCGCTCCCCCCCACTTCCTCCCGCACCCCCCCACCAACCTCTCCCCCCACCATCTCCGCCCACTTCCTCCCCCCCACTTCCTCCCACTCCCCCACCACCGTCTCCTCCCGCTCCTTCCCCCACCGCACCGCCGCCTCCCGCTCCCCCACCCCACCAACCCCCGCCTCCTGCTCCCCCCCACCCCCGCCTCCTGCTCCCCCCCAACCCCGCCTCCTGCTCCCCCAACTCCCAAACCCCCCAAAACCTCCCTCACCCCCGATGACGTTCACTCGCAGCGACCTGGTGCCGGGGAGGCTTAAGTAAAGGGAGGAAAGACCCCTCTTTTCCCCCCTTTCTCTTTCTCCCTTCTCTCCTTATTACCTTCCCGCCTCCCTCTTTTATTCCCTCCCTCCCTCCCTCCCTCCCTCCCCAGCAACCTCTCTTTGCTGACACTCTCTCGTGTTGCTCGGCTCTCTGGCGTCTGTATGTTTGACACCTCAACTGGGTATCAACAGAACATATAATACACACACACACAATACACACCGACAGACACACACACAATATTCACACAGATGCACACACAATACACACACACACACACACAATACACACACACACAATACACACACAATACACACACACACACACAATACACACACACACAATACACACACAATACACACACACACACACAATACACACACACACAATACACACACAATACACACAGACACACACAATACACACACACACAATACACACACAATACACACAGACACACACAATATTCACACAGATGCACACAATACACACACCACACAGACACACACACAGAAACGCACACAATATTCACACAGATGCACACACACACACAATACACACAATACACAAACACACAATACACAACACACAATACACACACACACAATACACACAGACACACACACAGAAACGCACACAATATTCACACAGATGCACACACACACACAATACACACAATACACACAATACACACAATACACACACACACACAATACACACACAATACACACAGACACACACACAGAAACACACACAATATTCACACAGATGCACACACACACACAATACACACACACACACAATACACACACACACACAATACACACAATACACACACAATACACACAGACACACACACAGAAACGCACACAATATTCACACAGATGCACACACACACACACACACAATACACACACACAATACACACACACAATACACACACACACAATACACACACACACAATACACACACACACACATACACACACACACACACAATACACACACACACACACAATACACACACACACACAATACACACACACACACAATACACACAGAAACGCACCCACACAGATGCACACAATACACACACCACACAGACTCACACACAGACACGCACACACAATACACACACACAATACACAGACATGTGGATATTTTAACTTGCCCTTTTGAGGTACCACTGACGCCTTAAGTCCAATTTTCAGAAGTCCGCAGCCATTGTATTTTTGAGCCCGTTTGCATTGGAGTCCTGTAGCTCAGTGGTTAGAGCACTCGCTTTGCAAGTGAGAGACCTGAGTTCAATTCCAGGCAGAGGGCGAAACCTCGGGCAAGTTTCCTTACTCCACACAGAGCCTAATAATAATCCCTCCAAAAACCAAAAACAATAATAAATTGGTCATTTTCAATCTACGACTGTTTGTGGGACATTGCTGTGCGCAATTGGCTGCCGCGTTCGCCCACAAATATACAGTCAATTCACTTTACAGTGTGTTCTGTGAAGCGCTTTGGGACGTCCTCCCGACGTGAAAAGCGCTATATCAAATGCAAGGATTATTATTATTATTATTATTGAGACAAAACACAAAGTTACATTCTTCGATGCTTAACTCGTTTTGCTGGAATTCTGGCGTGCATTGTGTCCGGTACTGTTGGTGATATGCAGATATAATCCTATAAAATCTGAGTTTACCAAAGGTGCCATCTGTACCGTTGACCGGAATTTAAGCCCTCTTCATCCATTGAAGCTCATTTTTCCTCCATCCAGTGCTGTGAATTTGATTCATTGTAGTTCAATTTCAATGTTTGACAACACAATCAGCAGTTTGTTTTGATGTGGGATTTAGTGCTCCTTTTGCCCATCAAAAATAAGCTAAATTTGGTACAACTCGTAAGACTGTTGACAATTGTTCAGAAACTCATGTCTCCATGGGCTGACTCATCTGTATGTTTTAACCTTATGAACTGCATTACTGAATATTACTGGAATAATATACTGATCATTTGTTACCACAAATGAGTATGTTCACTGGCAGCCCGAGCTGATGATGCTGGCTGAGGAAAACCTGTGTGTGGCTCTCTCAGGATTAGGTGTCAAATAAAATGTAGGCCCTTTGTTTCTATGATTAATTTTTTTTTTAGTAATAGTGAGCCTCGTATTGGATATGCGGCAGCCGATTTGCGCACAGCAATGTCCTACAAACAGCCATGAAGTGAATGACTAATTTTATGTTTGGGATTGTTGGGCAGATTACTGGAGATATTTCCTTCACTTTTTAAACGGGGAAATCGATTCCCTTCTTATTGCAGGAAGAGCTTGAAAGAATTATTGTTGTTTGCAATAAATGCATAGTAGCTAATAACAGTTTATCATTTTTTTTCTCCCCCAAAGGTCACCATTCAAGGGGATATTCTAGTCGAGAAAATGACAGTTCGAAATTAGAGGAATGGAGTTTGGTGAGATATGCGACAAATGTTTTAATAGGCAATGGCCTATATCACTTGTCTGTGCTGACTTCAAATCCTGGGAAAAAGATTGATCTTTCTAATTGTACTGTAATTTTGCAGGTATGTGGTAGGAACCGGCCAAGCCAGAATTTAACAGGTGTTGACGAAAAGCACGATGAGTATCTGCTGCTGCTTCAACAAAGAAACAGGTAATATAGATCCTTAATTTTCTAAAATTCTCTTTTCTAAAGTGTATTTGACATGCATGTTAGATTAATGTAACATGAACTTACCGAATGAATAAATCAAAATAATGAATTATTTCCCCTGATTTTTTTTGTGTGTGCGCATGACTTGAACCACCTTAAACCATTGCACTGCTGTTAGATCTAAGCACATTCCTGTCTCTCAACTGACCGCATCTACACATTTCCAGCTAGGGCATGTTATCCTGAAATACACTTACAGTAATAAAGCTCCTGAAACAAGAGGATAGGTGTGTTACTGTGATACCCTAACCTATTAAACTCAGAGAAAAAAATCAATACAAAGAACATTCAAACCATTTCCTGTGCATGCTCTGTCCTTTTTTTCATATATACAACGAGCTTTATTTCCTTTTTCCTTCTGTTTTACGTTTGATACTTCTTTCTGCCTGTTTTCTATTTCTAACTTTAAACTAGGTTTCTTACCTTCTTTTCTTTCAGCTCCCACAATCCGTTTTAAAGGTGGAAACAACTTATTTTAAAAAAAAGTGATTTTTCATTGACTCAAAGCCGGCTTCACAGTCAGTTCTATTGTCTATTGTGAGTGCTTGTATATTTGTACTCCCTCCTCACACCAGAGCATATGAATATTTAAAGCTACTGACTAGATGTTATCTACATTCCTCAACTAATATCAAGTATAAGACCTTTTTGCTGTTACTCAGCAAAATACTGTGCTCTGGTATTCTTTTGGTTTAATTTGGTCAGCCTGTTGTCTGACACATGCGGAAACCCATCAACAATATCAAAACCACAACACTGAGAGTTCCACGTATGCATTGTCATGTTGTGTGTATTTTATATATAAAAAAACACCTGTTTAAACTTTTGATTCGTGGAAAAAGAAGGGCCAAGGTTTTTTTTATTATTTCCTTGGCAAATTTAAGAACCTAAGCTATTTCTGGGTTTTAAAATGGTAAATAAAGTGTATGGGTTCTCTGAAAATTGTGCATAGAAAACACTCGGACCTTAATTATTGGCTACCATTGACCAGAATGTCGGTTTTATCTTCAGGGTATTGAAAAGGTTAAAGGTGAAAGATCCTAAAACAATTCAGTTGGAACGTTTGGAGCAAGGATTTTCTATCTATCTGAATGGTGCTAATGCTGAATTAAAGAGGCAACCAATATTTGTAGAAACTTCACGATCAACGAGAACAGCTGGTGAGTGACTGGAGGGACAGCAAGGTTTAAAACTGATGAAGAGAAATAAAATGTGTCCCATAGCCTCAAATTTCTGAGCTCTCTGGAACAGAACTGCCTTCTATTTATAGGGTCAGGCAGCTGCCTGTCATGTTGCCTGACCTGCTGAGTTTTCCCAGCTCTCTGTTTTTGTTTCAGATTTCCAGCATCTGCAGTATTTTGTGTTTTGCCTTTTTACTGTGGTTGCGGCAGGAGAAGCAGTATGATGCAGCAGAGAAGATTGTTTCTTTCTCCGTGAATAGAATCAGGCACTTTATATTTTCTGATTAATGGTCACAAAGTATGACAAAATGAAAACTTTCGAAAAATATTAATTACGTGGCTAATTGCTCATTACTCACTGACTCACCCTGATAACATTTTCGGAATCTGTTGCAGTTCGTGCAATGGCCTGATCATTCCGAATATTCTGAGGTGCCATGATTTTTTTTCTTGAAAAAAACATTCTATTTATCATTTCTTCTAGTGCTTAAAAGTATTTTTCCTCCTCAATAATTACCTTTTATCTCTTATTCTTTTCTTTCTCCTTTCCCCCCCCCCCCCCCCCGCTTTTATTTTGCATGAAATAGATAAGATCCTGGATAAATGGATTCCTTTAACCAAAATAAACAATGAGCATCTAAGGTCAGAACTGTCTTGTTCTGACCGTAGATTATTATTATTATTTCTTATTGTCTGGGCTGACTTCAAATTCTGGGAAGCCTAAAAGCACTGCGGTCTCAATGGTCTCGAGATTCGCTTCACAATTAATTCAAAGTAACCTTGTGAAGTGATCAGTCCATGCCAGCTTCGAAAACTGATTCATACACTGAAGAATGATCTTTCAGTTAGGAAGGTCCGCTAATGTTTTTATATATTAAAATGTCAAGCTCTACATTCCAGGTGTGCATATATGGAGTCCTGTAGCTCAGTGGTTAGAGCACTCGCTTTACAAGCGAGAGACCTGGGTTTGATTCCCGGCAGGGCGAAACCTTAGGCAAGTTTCCTTACTCCACACGCCTGATAGTAATCCCTCAAGATAAAAAGCAATAATAAATCCACGACTGTTTGTGGGACGCTGCTGTGCGCAATTGGCTGCCACGTTTCGCTCACAAATATACAGTCAATTCACTTTACAGTATATTCTGTGAAGCGCTTTGAGACGTCTCGAAGACGTGATAAGGCGCTATATCAAATGCAAGGATTATTATTATTATTGATTCTGTTCTGATCCGGCTAATTTGCTTGTTTTTGTGTGGTTGACCTTTTCAAAAAGTCCATACTTGAGAAATCCTCTATGTAATATCCATTTCAGAATCTGCTGCCAGACCCTCGTTTTCTGAAGATGACCTAACAGACTTTGAAGAGGTGGAAAAACGTAGAACACATACTGCACCGGGCAACGTTCAACGTAAAGGTTGGATACAGGTAAAGACAATCTTGGTACATCATTGAAGGAATTACTTGAAATCATTATAATAGTGAAATTTTAAAATTCTTGTTTCCCCACCCCCTCATTATTGTGCACCTATCTTGAGTGATTGCCGTGCGCAATTGGCTGCCGCGTTTCGCCCTCACAGTATGCAGTCAGTTCACTTTACCCTATATTCTGTGAAGCGCTTTGAGACGTCTAGAAGACGTGATAAGGCGCTATATCAAATGCAAGGATTATTATTATTCAAGGGGATGTTGGGACACGAGTATATCAGAAAGCCCGCCTGCTTGTTGGTTGGCTTATTGTTTTCTCTACTTCCTTCTTGTGAAACCCCACCAAAGAGTCACTCAGCTAAGCTCTGGTAAAGTTGGATGGATGGGTCACAAGATGAAATCCATCAACACTGAGATCTGCAAACCGAAGTCTTAAGCAAGTATCCCATTGTAGGACGCATCAATTCCTATGTGGATGTAACCCTTGATATTCGTTTCAGGGTTCTGTTCATATTAAAACTCAGAAGGGAACGCAGTTTCACTTTGGTCCACCTGTAGATTACTCTGATGATTTTGAACTTGATGACAGTGTTGAGATGGAAAGAGAAGAGGTATCGTGCAACTGTACTCAGGTAACATCATCCGTAATAATCGTTCGATCTGAGATTTCATTTAATCCTCACCTTATCACAAAAATATACAGTCACTACACTTTACAATATATTCTGTGAAGCACTTTGAGACGTCTCGAAGATGTGATAAGGCGCTATATCAAATGCAAGGATTATTATTATTATCCAAACTATACAGTATATGCAAATCGGACTTGATAGTGTGAAAGCTTATTGCACTGTTCTAAATAATGACCATTATTTCACATAAAATACAACAGACAATGTTTGGTGTTTGCAGCGGATTTGCAATGTTATACTGCTACCAATATGGCCACGTAAGAGTAAAATGAAAGTCATTAGAAATACAATAGTACTGTATTTTTATCTTTTGAAGGAGCGCTGATTCCCGAAGTAATTTGCGAAATACTTTAATATGTTTAACTTTATTTAATTTTATTTTTAACAATGATTAAACAATCTGTTGTATGTGAAACATCGACTTTTGTTTTCTTCCAAAAAAAACATTTTCAACCCCCATCATTCCCTTCAGAATTTTGTTGAAGAATCAACCAAGAAGGAAGAGCACTCTTGCGTCTTTTCAGAGTCTTGTTTCACAAAGTCTAAAAAGTCAGACAAAAGCTGCTGCGACCGAAATGAAAAGATACTTTTAAACATGGATGACGTTAAGGTGTGTGTGTGCGTGTGTCTGTGTGGCAGTACTACTGCATTAGCAAACTTATCACATTGCAACTACTTGAGTGTTTTCAGATACACAGAAATTTTTTTACTGTAAAATTCATCACAAAAGGTCTTAGTTTAGATTAAATAAAAGTAACAACAACAAATTACCTTTGTGTGGCACCTTTCACGTCGGTAGGACGTCCCAAGTAATTATTTATGAACTGTGCGTTATAGTTCCAACATCTAAATCATTTTGTATTTGCTGGTTTTGTACTTCAATGAATGAACCTGTTAATTCATTAGATGTTAAAGAGAAGCCTGGAGCTGAGCGTTTGCCTACAGTTAAATGAGAAGAAGAGTATCAGCAGCGAAGACTCCGATTCATTGGATGAAGATTATATTGAGGAGCAAATTCAAGAAGTACCGCAGTGTCTGGAGAGCATGCAGTTTAATGAGCAATCTTTCTTGAGAAGTTCAGGGATAACGCAAGAATGCAATCTGAAGCCTGGAGACCTGATCGTGCTTGATTTTGGGCCAAGCAGTAAAAGTAAGCTTTTAATAAGCAAGCTACTAGTCAAGTGATTGCTGCATTGATGAACCTTTGCAGAATGAATTGATAATTCCTCTGTTGTGTGTCAAGTGAGCTTCATTGGGAAAAGTTCAGTGCCTTCATATTTGTTCAGTAGGATTTTAGCGGGGAGTATGCACCTGGATTTCTTGTTGTCAGACCAATTTAAAGCCCCCTCCTCCCTCCTCCGCTAATGTGTCCAAATTGTTGATTGCTTGTTGTCCAGCGTCACATAAAGAATGATCACTTGGGGCAAGATCCCAAAATAGTTCCCATTTATGGAACTGCACTTTAGCATTCTTTGCTCCTTGAGGAGAATACAAGTAAGAATATCAAGAGAGGAAGGAAATTATTGAACCTCTGAGCTGTGAAACTCTACTTGCAAACAGTTGACCAGCTATTACAGCAAATGATAGATTATTAACCGTTCAGTGTTATTTTTTTTTTACAGGCAAGCAAAAGGAACGCGTTTTGTCCGCAAGGAGGAAAGAAAACGTGGAATCGTACATACCTGTAAAACCTCTTGTAGTGCGGGGTAAATCTTTTGACAAACGGTCCTCCTCTCCATCTAGCCAAGAAAGGCAGGACTTGATTTCAAGTAAGGGTTATGATTAACGGTTAAACTGTTTGTGACATCTGTTGAGGCACTATTGGGCATACCATCTGAGCTTCACAACATTGAAGGCAGTTTTGTGTTTACAAAAAAAAATATTGAGAGAAAAGGTAGGGAGGGAAACAGAAAGATAGCCCGAGAGAGAAAGAGAGAGAAAAAGAAAAACCTGTTCTCAAATGCCAAAAATGTAATTTTTCTTAAAATACCAAGTAGCACAAGCCATCAAGGCAAACGTGTGCACCAATTCTGTCATTCTAAAGAACAAATTTCAGTCCAGCCTTTGCATTCTGAATACTTTATTCTTACAACTGATTTTCATTATTACTAGAGCTGTCTTTAATGTTTAGTTTCAATACATGGTTTATGTTTAATAACTTATCGAATCCATCTTTTTAGGTCAAGGATGGCACACGGAGAGAACACTTTCTGCTTCTCGGAGGAATATGTACCAGAAGAAGGATTCACAGACGTCTGCTTCGACTGTCTTCCAGGCAATGCAGAAAGAAAATGAAGATCTTGTGAAAGGATCGCAGACAGAGAGAACAACGATCACACCCACATGTTGTCAAATGGTAGGTAATAGAACATTTGACCTATTTTCTCATAAATCTATTCTTTCTTCCTTGCACATAACTTTTGTCCAAAACGCTTCACAGAATAAGTGCAAAAGTCCATTCCTGCCCCTAATAACTTTTTGAAAGAAACGCGCACACCTTTGGGGTGAGATTGTGATATCGTGTTCACACTAAGCTTTTTGCAGGTGGTGTGAATCAATTTGGTCTCTACTAAGAAATGGTGTAAAGACTGCTCAAGAACTTTTTAAGGGATCATTTTTATTGTTGTAAAAGACCTCGTATGATTGGCTTTTTAATAACATTGAAATTCGCTTTTTTTAAAAAAATGTTTGTGGGAGACTGCTGTATGTAATTGGCTGCCACGTTTCAAGTCACCGAACTTTACAGTAAATTCTGTGAAGCGCTTTGAGGTGTCTTCAAGACGTGATAAGGCGCTATATCAAATGCAAGGAATATTATTGAATCCCAAGTGGCATCACTGACCCAATTACTTTTTTTGTTTGGCATCATTCAGGCTGTTTTGTTGCATTGCGTTTGTTTCCGAAATGCGTTTCTTACATGAAACTAATACCTCAGATTTCTGACCCCCGTTTAGCTCTCGACATCCTCGATGCCAACAATGAATGGGACACTTCACACTCCATCTGATTCAGGACAGCAGAACACAGTCAATAAAGCTGTCGAGAGAATCGGCCTTTTGGAACCAAGGTAACCTCGTGGAATAATAAACCTTGCGTTTTGAAAAAGCGCCTGGTCACATCTTTGAGATGCCTCAAAGCGCTTCACAGAATATACTGTATAGTGAATTAACTACAATTTTGTGGGCAAATCTTTGTTTATCTTTACGTTATGAATGAATACTTTTTTTAAAAAAAGAGAATGAGTGTAAAGAAGATAATGTGGACTGAAAAATGTTTCCTTTGCGCAAATTGTACGTCAAAACTAGCTTCTCTGTAGAATTCCATATCAATTCAGGCAATAAAATGTAGTTCACAAAATGACGATTGGCAGCAGTAGAGTAGTGAAATATAATAAGTGTCTCAAAGTCTATGAATCAATTTTCTATCTACTGCGAGGTCTAAAAGAGAGCAGTAAGATGATCGAAATGTGAACACAAATCGTGTTTCACCGATTCCACAATATCATTAAACAATGAGGGTTATTTATATATTCCAGGAGAGGATGTAATCCTTGTTATATTTGAATCTGTTTACATACCCAGCACTACATAATACTTAGTATTGAAGAGTTACAATTAATTTTGCTTCAGTCGTACGCATTCTTCTTGTAATTTCTTTCTGTCACCTATGTATTTTATAGTCAGCAGAGAAAGCTTCTGAAAGTATTGGAGAAAATTGAACTGGATCCTCCACGTGATAGTTCAAGTGGTGGTTCTTTAAAGGGAAGAACAACTCTACATAGTCCGGAGGCAAGTAACCTTCAAATGTCATATTCAAAGGCCTTTCTGTTGTGCAGTGTCAGAATTTCCTGAAACTTAAATGATACAGCTACAATATGAGATCCAGCAAAAAAAAAGTTTTTTTTAAAAGAAAGGGAAACATAACTGTTACACGGTACTTTGTTTTCATTGTATTATTTAAGAATTGTATAGAAAAAGTCGTCAATTCACATTTTTCAATTCAGAATCCAGAGAAAACAATTATTTTCTTCTCACAACATGAGCCCTATTCAATGATAGGATATCTACGCGTTAAGTGTCAGCTTGGCTCAATTGGTATTACTCTCTCGCTGCTGAATCAGTGTCAGTTATAGGTTCAAGACCCACGTGCGATCTTTCAGCTCAGAGTTTAGACTAACACTCCAGTGCAGTGCTACAGGAACTCTGTATTGTCAGAGATCCCATCATTTACATGAGGTGTCAAACCAAGATTAACTTGATGTTAAAGATACATGGCACTATTTGAAAGGAGAAGGCGTAGTTTTGTAAAGGTACAAGCTTTTTAATAATCACAGCCTTGAACAAAGATGCATTGAAGAAATGATTACTGCATTTAGTGTAGCATTGAATTCGTTATTATAAAATCTGATGGACTACTGTGGTCGGTCTGGAAACCTGTTGCTGCTGAGCTATATTCTTGTTGACAATTATGGTTAAAATGCGAAATGTCGACATTTTAGACTGATAAATGTCGGTAAATATTAAGGGCGGTGTTTACAATTTTTATTTTGATAGACTCTCTGGAGTGTTGGTTTGCCAGCAAAAAGGGAAGTAAAAGACACAATTTATGTCACAATGGAGATTCTGTCTAATTGGGGCAACAGTGGCAAAGTGGGCTTGACAGAAGTACAATTCTTTGATCTGAAAAAACAGAGAATATCTGTTTCTCCTCATGATGTCGATATCAGGAATGCAGATTACCCCGGAAACTTAAGCTGTTTAGTGAATGGAAAAACAAAGGTAAGCCATTTTGAATGCAGTTGTTAGGTCTTACACTTAACAATCCACGTAACCATTTCTTTGTATGATCTCAACAACATGTTGGCTGCTGGGTTTGAAGTAAAAGAGGCCCATAAAGCAAATGAAGCGTTCCATTGCAAGGCTGATGTTTGTAATCTGTGCTTTCCTTCCTTTCACAGACCACAAAGGATCGTCACATGTGGACGTGTCCTTTCCACCCACCGGTACAACTGTACTTTGTGGTGCACAGCCCAAACCGGTCACGTGAGCTGGGTATTTCTAAGATCAGGATTTGGAACTATAACAAAAATCTCAGTGTAAGCTGCTCCAGTTTTGTTCTTGGCTCTTTTGATTTTTAATAGCAAGGGTTGTTCTGTCAGGTGCACACTGATAAGAAATTTACATGATATACAGCAACAACTTGCATTTACGCAGCACCCCTCAGGCAGGGCAGCGTCCCAGAGCTGGTGGGAGGTGACCGTAGGTACGGTTGAAGAGTAAGGTCTTCAGGCGGGATCTGAAGATGGGGAAGAAAGGGGCAAGGTGTGTGGAAAAAAAAGTGTTTGAATATAGATAAATCGGATTGCATCTATGCTGATTTGGGAAGGGAACTTCTGCAAATGTCCTTTATTTAATAAAAAAAACTATTAATATTGCAAACACAATATAAATTTTAATGCTGGTTCCTTTAGTAATGATATTCTTGCTGCATAATGCATAGGAGTTCAATCCATTTGCCACATAAACAAGTAGAATGTAGAACACCAGAAGATTAAAGCAGTGGATTAGATTCAGATCACCTAAGCTTTATCCTCTGGATTTTATGTGACTCAACCGTTAATAGAAACAGAAACAGATTTCACACTTGTCCTTACTTGAAATACCAGCATATGCGGTGTGAGATGAAAGCGTCTGTTTAGAACATTGTTGGACGTGTTCAATATATTCACACAGAATAACAAGTGTCAATGATACTCAGGGAGATGTTTGGACATCTTTAAAAGAATAAGGTAGGTATTGTAGATTGGAATAAAGATTGAGGACAACAGTATTTCTTGCGCTGAGATTTGCTTCAATCTCACAATGGCAGTTTTCTCCTTGTGGCCTGATCAAAAAAATAATGATGAAATTATTGTTTTTTTTATTATTATTGAATTACTGCTTATTGCTATATATTGTTTCTAAGTTAATTATTGAAGAAACATTTTATTGTCGAACGGTGCATGAAGTGCTTAAATTTTTTTTATAGTGTAGCATTGAATTTTTATAGTGTACAATTAGTTGTTGTAAAATCAGATGGACATTTTGCAAAGCCAGCACTGTATTTTATCGTTTTTTAAATGTGAAACTTGGTAATTGTACTTCATGGAGCGTGTTTTTGTAATTTAATTTCCAATACTTTGGCTTTTGCCATTTTCTTGCTTTAGGAGTTGAATGTTGGAGCAAAGGATGTGAGAATCTACGTGGACAGTAATCTAATGTTTGAAGGAGAGCTTGAGAAAGGTTGTGGAAACCAAGTATTTGACTACAGTACCTCAGTTGACTTAAGGCCTTGCATAGAAGAAGCTCCATTTGATGATTCTAGTTGGAAGAGTATGGAAGGTGAAAGCGGAAGCAAAAGAGACTCTAATATTGTGCCCCAACAATGGGGAGACTCTGCAGACTGTTCCCGTTCAAACTTAGAACATAACAGGAGTGAAAGAAGTTCATCAGCCGGTTCACTAAAAGATATCATTTCTACTTCAGAGGAGCACTTAAAAACATTACCCACTGCTGTCGCACTTGAAGAGCCACTCCAGAGATTACAGGTTTCCGAGACGAGTGAGGAGAAAGACGAGTTTCAATCAGACGAAGAACTAGCCATGAAGGAGCAGCTGGAGAAATTAACTGGGAGAAAAATAACAGATACGTCATTGACCTCGAAGGTACCACCGTGGTTACAGTCGCCCGAGAAAGAAAAGCAGGAAAGAAGTAAATGGAAGAAGCCTCTTTGGCTCAGTGATGAGGCCCCTACGGATTTAAGTGTCAAGAATGATTCAATGGATAAAACCCAAAGTAATTTGCCCGGTGTGACTAGTCTTTCCAGGGGGCACAAAAGTGCGATTGTGAGTTCTGACAAAATTTTGAACAGCAATAGAAAAAACACAGCCAGCTCTCTCGAAAGGGACATTCCTGAGAGAGACAGTTTAGACCTTTGTGACAGACTAACAGAGAGCAATTCTTGTGCGCCTTTCCTGCTGGAAAATATGAGTCAGAAGCTCAGCCGTCCTGTCAGCGGAAGGAGGAGTTCTTTAAAGAGTGCAAGAGATAAAGAACCATTTCGTATCAATGCATCTGAAGGGCTGCCTAGCATAGGTACAGTATGTTTATGGTCTGGCCTCATTTTAAAATCTGCTATTGTATTTGCGCATTTGTAACTGGATAAGGTTTGGTCTGTTTTTTTTAAGCTTCAAGGAAGAAAAATTGTCTGATAATTGCTGTAACCTGAGTAACTGTTTTTTCAGGCTCCAGCAAATTCTCACAAACCTCAGGGTGAATGCCCAGTTATTCTGGATAAGGATGGCTCAGACACACAGAGATCTTAAACGTCCACGTGAGCAGGCAGATGGGACTTTATTTTAATGTTTCATTGCAATGGAGTAACAGCTTCGACTGAATTCAAGTCTTGTGGGACTTACCTGTGCCATCAGACCCACAGGCAAAAGTGCGCAAGTTGATGCCTTGTGCCATAATTGGTAACTGTACATAGCTTCCTTTGTACAAAGAAAATCGTATCGTCTAAACTTACACTCCAATGTCGTGCTGTATTATTGGAAGTGCCAATCTTCGGCTGAGAGAGTAAACTGAGGTCCCATTTGTCTCTTCGGGTAGATGTTAAAGACCTCGTGGCTCTATTCGAAGAGAGAGATTCTCCCAGTGTCCTTGCCAGCAATCCTTCGAATAAAATTGTTTGCGAGATATTGCTGTGTGCAAATTGCTGCTATGTTTGTCAACAAAACACACAGTCACTTTACTTTACAATGATCATGTGAAACACTTAGGGACGTCCTCCAGACTTACAATGGAAGGATTATTATTATGAATCTACTCAAAAATGCACTACTCAGTACTTGTACTTTTTGGCCTTTGGTCAATTTTTCATATTACCCATTCATTTAATCCTTCAAACTCTACAATATTGTTTTGCAAATTGAACTAAATTAAATGGCCACAATTTACATGAGCTCTATCTACCCGTTGTAGCATTGCCGTGTGATTCAGTCAGTTGCCTAAGAAAACAGAATATTGCAGTACCTGTCAGTATTTACCTTTAGCTCAAACATCACAATTGGCTTTATTACTCTTTAACCCATGTCATGTTGCCTCTACCGCATTCAGTGTCTGCTGTACAATGGTAAGAAAAGTTGAAGTACTTTTTTCCATATCCAAATGATATATTGACTACAAGTATTAAACTATTCATAGGTCTTTTGATCTACAATGTGTTACATACGCTATTGACAGTACACTGTATTGATTCCTCACAAGAGTATTTAATCTCAAAAGAGAAGGTAATTTATTATGTGAATCTGTTATAGATTAATCATGTTGATATACATTGTTAAAAAAGTGCAGTACATTGTTGCCTCTTTTCCTTATTAATGATGTTTCTGAACCTGTATTTAAGATGGTTTTATATCCTATCGCTCACTTTAAATAACACATTGCAAAGGCAGACCCTTAATTCCAATGATAGATGTGGATTAATAGTAAATACATTCTTTCTTCATTTGCATTTAAATAAAACTGCCTTGGAAAGATGTGTATGCCGGCACCCTTCCTACTGCAGGTGGAGGTCATTTGTTAATCAGGAGCTAAAATGTTACAAAAAAAAATCTTTCGCCGAAGATTAAATGGACCACAGACGGAATTGTCTTTTTATGCAAATTAATTTAATCTTCCACATTGGCCTTCTGCCAAATCGGCAAATCTTTCCTCGCACTGTACCCAACAGTAGAATTATTAAAATGCTGGACATCTTTTTAGTTATCAACGTTCCAACAATGTGGAGTTGCAGAAAATCGCTCGTTTCTGATGATTAAATAATACAGAGCGATTTTTTTTTTTTTTTTGTTCCTTTTAAAACAATGACAAACTGCTGAACACTGGGTTTCCAGCATTCTTTTTCAGCGTAGGTTGAAGTTGGAACTTGGAATGCTTTCAACATCATCGTTGTGCAGAAAAGAATAGAACGTACTGTGTTATAGAAGCTCATGTATGTAAGAAAGTGCTGTGAAATAGTCTTGAGTGCAAAATTATACTTTCAGCCCATTTTCAATTGCCTTATTGGGGTCAAACCTTTAATTAAACTTTAATGTAAGCTTGCTGTTTGATAGATTTAACCAAAGATTGCAGCCGTGCTTTTGAACAAAAGAAATGCCGAACAAAATTTTGCCTTTATTACTGTGCACTGAACTAAATTGAAGCTAAAACAAATCATCTTATTATATGAAGAGTTAAAATTCCAGGAAATTCTTCAATTTGTTCATTTTTCAAAGGCTGCAAAGTGTGTTCTATACTGGGACATAAAGTGTACCTTGTGTGGTTTTAAACATTTATGTTGTGGCTTTTACTGTTTTGTCAACGTCTTGAACTATAGTTTAATGATTCCCCTAAACCGCTGGGGGTGGGGGGGAAAAATATCTTGACAGTATTATGACAGACTGTCGTCATTCTTCGTATGGAAATGTATTGAGGTGGTCAGAATCTCAGTAAAAAGACTCTCCTGCTTAAGCTGATATGATAATATTTCTTCATGTCTGTTGAGGAATGAAGAAATATTATCAAATGAGTATCAAGAGCGTACTTCTGAAATAATGAGTTATTCAAGGAAAAGCTTCCTTCTTTGTATCTTCGATGTACATCAGGAAGGAGCTCGGATTTTGCTTAGAATTTTATGTCACTTTGATGCTTACTTTTTCAATTGTAACTAATATCCTCTGGTGGAAAAGCAAGTGACATAGCGCTCAACGCAGTGTGCGTATAAATGCAAATGTAGGATTAAGTTCAGTTTGGAAAGTGGTTTGAAAGAATTTCCGCAGAATGTATTTTCGTGTTGGCTGCGCGTTTGTTCCGTGTTCTATCTGGTGTGTTCTTGTCTGAAACCAAATGTTAATCAGAAGTGTCCCAAACATTTTTTTTTTTTGTCCAACATTTTAAAGTGGACTCGCAAGTATTTTATTTTGTTCAAATATATGGATGTTTCAAAAAATTAATACATTTGATTCCTTACGGTCAGCCACTGTTACTCTGCAGACAGGTTAACAGCTGTATAAGGGACTCAACTAATAAGTCAGTTGGTGCAGACGTATACAGTGCTAGCCGCACATCTGATTCAAATTCCACTCTGCTGCAGACCGCTGAGATTGCTTCTGTCGGAAAGTATTGAAGTAGTTGCCTGTTGCACTAACTGGGTTACTGAAGTGTGTATATGTAGGCTAGAAAAAGACATGATGCTTACACCTGGAATTGTCACTGTAATGTTTCGGGATGTTGGCTTAATGAACCTGACTCTAAAATGCACAAATATCTTGGGTATGTAATAATACGGTTGCCTGGTTTTAATGCCTGGAAATAGTGATCTGATTTACAGTACGTATTCTCTAATGCAAGACTACTCACTAATCTGATTTGGTTCTTAACCTTTAGCCTGCAGGAGAAAATGCAAACATGTGCGCTTTGAATCGCACAACTTTCAGATAAGGAAATGATGAGTTAAAATGGCTTTCATAGAGCTGTCTTTTTGCTGAAACCTGCCTATTTGGTATATAAATGCACGGTGCTTTTGTTGTGCCTTATTTATGCTGCACGTTTAGTGACTGTCTAAAATATAACGGCAGCTGTGCAATCGTAAATCACGTTGTACTGCTGAGGCGTTAATGAATCCATTTTTAGAAGGTGAGTTTGCCAGGAAAGCTGTTCACGGTGAATCAGTAAAAAGTGCCTGCTGATTCAGTGCCCACTCAAGTCTTCCACTAAAATGCTTCTGAAATTGTTCAGGACATCAGTGAGACACCCTTTTTATTTATATAGATATATATATTATAATATATAGATAAATATGTACAGTATTAATCTTCTGAATCATTTGCATCTCTGATTTATGTGAGATGCAAATGATTTAGTCTTTTGTTTTAATGTGATGTGCTTTAATTAAGTATGGCAAACCACATAATTTTAATCTAGTTTTCCAGTTTACAATGTACTGCAGTGTATTTTCTTGACTTCACGTATTCCCCATGAGGAGTCCTGTAGCTCAGTGGTTAGAGCACTCGCTTTGCAAGTGAGAGACCTGAGTTCAATTCCAGGCAGAGGGCGAAACCTTGGGCAAGTTTCCTTACTCCACACAGAGCCTAATAATAATCCCTCCAAAACCAAAAACAATAATAAATTGGTCATTTTCAATCTACGACTGTTTGTGGGACATTGCTGTGGGCAATTAGCTGCCGTGTTCGCCCACAAATATACAGTCAATTCACTTTACAGTGTGTTCTGTGAAGCGCTTTGGGACGTCCTCCCGACGTGAAAAGCGCTATATCAAATGCAAGATTATTATTATTATGTTATATTCTGCGTTCATTAGAAACTCATTTCTGGAGCACCCTGATCATCCCTTTCACTTTGAAACATTCAGGGTAGATTAGCAATCGACTGAAATGTGTGAGATCCAGGTTGTCTGAATCCATCTTATGAACTCTTTTTCAGATGATCAGAAACCTTTGAAGTGTATGGGGTCTACAAGAGCCAAGTGGCGAAATGAACAGGATGACTCACTACTTGAGTCTTGGAGCTCTTTGCTGAAGTTCAACAGGTCCCAGCGAGGTCGAATAGCCAACATGGAATATCAGGGAGATGTATTTGATGAGTTCTTGCAAGAACAGAAAATAGGCAGAGAAGCAGGTTTCAAATCGTTGCATCAGGAATCGGTTCAGGAAGTCGAGGAGAAAGAAGAAATTGGAACTGAATTGGAAAAAGTTGATGATGATGATGATGATGATGGATGTGACGATTTTGAAATTCCAGTTTTACCAAGTGGTAGCCACCTGTTTATTAATGTTAAATCAACCTGGGGCGACCGGCATTATGTTGGACTAAATGGAATTGAAATATTTTGTTCGAGTGGGGAACCTGTACACATAGTGCACATCAGAGCAAACCCAGCAGACATCAACATTTTACCCACTTATGGGAAAGACCCGAGAGTGATCGCAAATTTAATTGATGGTGTCAACAGGACACAAGACGATATGCACCTTTGGCTCGCGCCTTTCACTCCAGGAAGGCCCCATGCGATCACCGTTGACTTTGCAAGCTCTTGCCAAGTCGCCATGATCCGAATCTGGAATTACAACAAATCGAGAATACATTCGTTCCGCGGAATTAAAGATGTCGAAATTTCATTAGATGAGCAGTTCATCTTTAAAGGAGAAATAGCCAAGGCATCAGGGACCCTAAACGGAGGTAAACAAAAGCATGTTTCTGTCTTGCCTGCAAAGGAATAACAGTGTTTTGTCTATCTATACTAATAAAGGACCTTTCCTATCTCATCATTAGCGATAATTCCTGCGTAGTTCTGGTACAGGATGCTTTGTACCATGGCTGTTTGTGGGGACATTGATATCTAATCTTCATTATTTCATTGAAAGTTAGCATCTTATACTGTAGGGTGGGATAGTGACCATGTTTATAGTGTAGAAACGCTGCCTCTACTGAAATTTATTCGTCTTCGCTCTCTTTTTAGCTTTGGAACAGTTTGGAGACACTATACTTTTCACGACCGATGACAAGATACTGGAAGCAATGGCCCAGTACGATAAGACATTTGATGCTGAAATTGATTATACTCAACCGCTTGGCTTCGAGGAGGATGTAAACAGACCCAGGACCGCTGATGGTGAAGGAGATGAGAGACCCTTCACACAAGCTGGCTTTCGAGCTGAGGATAAACCGGTAATAATAAAAATAATAATCCTTGCATTTCATATAGTGCCTTATCTTGTCTTCGAGACGTCTCAAAGCGCTTCATAGAATATACTGTAAAGTGAATTGACTGTCAGTTTCAGGGCGAAACGAGGCAGCCAATTGTACACAGCAGTGTCCCACAAACAGTCGTGGATTGAGTGACCAATTTATTATTTTATTAAAAACATAAAGACTATAGGTTATGTTTTTAGTGCATTAAGCAGAATCTCACTCAGGCCTTAACTGTTCCACCACTGGTTTGAATCCCAGAAGAAATTCTCTTTGGATCCACTCTTGGATGAGTCAGTAAACTGGGATTCTGTTTTGCTATTTAATCCCCCACATTAGTTACTCTTTTACCTTGTAGCTATTTATGAGATCTTGCTGGTGTAAATAAATGGCTGCTGCGTTTGACCTACAAAAGTAGTCACTTCGCTTCACATGAATTATGTGTGAAATGCTTTTAAGATATTCAGAAGTGATGAAACGCTTTAAAAATGCAGGTTCTTTCTTATCCTATTTCTTCGATTATTTGAACTGAACAGAACTGTCACGGTTGCTTTGGAAGTATTGAAACCATGTATGTGCTTTATTTTCATTGTAGGAACAGTTATCGGCAGCCTACACGTTAACTGGCCTGACCAGTCAAGCGCTGGGGGAGTATACTGGCAAATGTAAGTATTTGGCAGCTTCAGAATCTTTCTCCAGATTGTATGGGAAAGGGTGATACAGACCCAAGTTCTAATTAAAATGAAATTATCCTTGGCGTTGCCTTGTTTCTTATTCCAGAGCACTCATTGTTTTTAATGACCTTCCTTTGCGACTCCTGTGTATGAAGTTGTATTTGAAAATGAGCTTGAATTTATTGTGGGTTTTTTTTAAAAAATTCTAGGTCTACAGCTAAATTTTACCCTGACGTGGGGAGACTCTCATTACCTTGGGCTGACTGGACTGGAAGTGGTCGGCAAAGAGGGACAGGCTCTTCCAATCCCAAGGGAAATCATTGAAGCATCGCCAACTGACCTAAACGAACTACCCGAGTACAATGAAGACATCAGGACCTTAGATAAGTGGGTGCCCAATAACAGCATTTTTAAAAGTAAAATCATCCAATTTTCCTAGTAATAAAACTGAAGCAGGTCTATCGAGATCTGATAGTTTCAAACATCTTTATTGACAGCAATCTTTACAGCGCAAAGTTCAGAATAAGCAAACTGTTGGGTTGTTTTCGCGTTCTACTTACAGTGTTTATTGTGGCGAGTGTGAGAAAGATTTCGCCCAGTTTTCCTTATTCAGAGGCCATTGATCAATGTAAATGAAGTATTAATGATGAATATGGTACAGTGATGAAGGCAGTGTAGCCATCCAAGGTTTTGTTTATTCTGAAGTTAAGAAACTTAGGAAGTTAGATTTAAAATGGAAATCTGTAACTCTCTCTCCCTCCCCCCCACCCCGCCAAAAAGGCCGTGGATGCTGGATCCATTCACATTTTCAAGACTGAGGTGGATAGATATTTGTTAGGTTATTGCATCAAGAGATATTGAGCAAACGGTGGGTATTTGGAGTTGACGTACAGATAAGCCATGATCTTGTAGAATGGCAGAACAGGCTCGAGGGGCTGAATGGCCTCCTCCCGTTTCTATGTTTCTGATATGGACGCAGGTGAAATCTGCCAAAAGAGATTCGAGAAGAAGCTTAGAAGGCAATTTAATTGTAACCAGGCAATACTTTTGGAGATGATTTAAGAACCTGTTACTCATTTTGTTAAAGGCTGATTGATGGGATTAATATCACAATGGAAGATGAACACATGTGGCTGATTCCTTTCACTTATGGGGCAAATCACTTCCTCACTGTGACCTTTGATAAGCCACAAAGCATTGTTGGTCTTCGGTTCTGGAACTACAATAAAACCTCTGAAGATACTTACAGAGGGGTAAGGAAATCGCCAAGGTATTTTTTTGATATATTGGTCTGGAAGTGACAAGAGACTTGTGTTTCTTTTATTTTAAAATGTATACTTTCAATAACTGAAAACATTGAACAGTGCTGTTACGTTAAATGTGTGTGAAGAAGTATAAATAACAAACTAATAGCTGTTAATGTATCCCAGGAGGAAAATCCACTTAATATCTTAATTGACAAAATTCATTCCTATTAAAATAATAAATCATTTACAAAACGTGTCACACGGAAGCTTTGCCAAATTCGTTTTTAAAAAATGCCATTTCTATTATGTGTAATCAATGGAGACTACTAAGAATAGGGAAAATTCTTTCAACTTCCTGATTATCTAAAAGGGAAACCTTTTCAGTTCTTGCCTGCTAAACACTTAGGTTGCGTAAAAGTAGATTCGGCCGGTAGTGTTAAATAGTTAAGTCTACTTTGTAAACTTTATTTAAAGACCTTCCTTTTTGATCGTGCTTACGGCCACCTGCTCCCTCTCCCTCTCCCCTGGCTCGGGGTCAGTCTCCGACACTGTCACGTAATGCTTTCAGATGCTAACCCCACATGAAGGGCGCAATGTAAATGCTTTCAATGTAACTTCTTGTTGGGGCATGTTTAACATTTGCATTTCCCTACCGCTTTACTCACTGGTAGTTAAATATACACATCGAGCTACAGGGAGGAAGTAGTACTGATTTGCAAACTGGCAATTCTTCTTCATTGTTTCTAACAGGCAAAGATCGTGCACGTTACCCTCGATGGATGTCGCATTTCACCACCAGAAGGCTTCCTGATTCGGAAAGGTCCAGGAAACTGCCATTTTGACTTTGCTCAGGAGATTCTCTTCATAGATTATCTCCAGAACAGCGAAGCAGCAGGAAAACAACAAATTAGGTATTAACAAAATCGGTCTCTTAAATATCTTTTTACTGTCCTACTTTCGGAATCTCGACTTGTTTTGAATTGGATGTATCCACCACAGCCAGCAGTGACTGGAAAGTGTTAGGACTTCCTACATATGTTACCATCCGCATAAGCTGCAGTGTGAATATAATATAATAGCAGCTAACTAGAATGCAAATATTTGTAACAGGAACTGCCCGAAGAATGTGGAGCAGGCGAGTATGGATTATGAATCTCCACTGATGCCGTGTGGCTGTATCCTTTTACCATCTAGAACTTTATAGAGAAAATGAGATCTTTGGCTCGTGCACCTCATACCATTGAGGATAAACGTGGCTTTTTTCCCGCCCTGCAATATCACAAGGTTTGATATCATTGCAAAGGTGACATTATAAAGGTGGGAAAAAAAGGAACGTAAAGGATCGGGAAAGACCATTAGGCCAGTCGCAAAGTAAATGATTGCAGCTTTTAGTTCTATTAACAAGACGTGGTGGAACGATGAGAAATATACTTGTATTCACCTTGGTCAAGTTTCCTTACTCCACACGCCCGATAATATTCCCACAAGAAAAAAAACAACAATAAATTGGTCACTTCAACCCCCGACTGTTTGTGGGACACTGCTGTATGCAATTGGCTGCCGTATTTCGTCCACAAATATATACAATCAATTCACTTTACAGTATATTCTGTGAACTGCTTTGAGACGTCTCGAAGACGTGATAAGCGCTATATCAAATGCAAGGATTATTATTCAATCAATTTCTCAGTTAAACAAGTGGTAATTGAGAATGGCTATTTTAGGTTTCACGTAATCTGTTATAAATGGTACCTCAATTTTAATTGTATTCTTTGTTTAAAATAAGATGTATTAAATTACAAGTAAATTTCACATTTATTTTTGAATAAGAGGTATTATTGGTTAACATTATGTTGCCTTATGAGAAAGCAGTCGTACACTTAACACAAGTAGGTCTCCAGTGAGGTACTAAGTCACTTTCCTTGATCAAGCTTCCGCCAGTTATTTTCCAGCTACAGTTGCTCACCAGTTGGGGAGATCCTTACTACATTGGTCTTAATGGACTTGAATTCTATGATGGAAATGGTGAAAAGATTCATTTGACCGAGAATAGTATCCTTTGCCAAGTTCTGCTCAAAAGTAATTTGCAACATTTTTGTGAACCTTGTTTGATAGGAAGAAAAAGATGCTTCGAAACACAGCTTTTTTTTTCTTATGAGCGATTTAAAAACTATTGCTTCTGAGCAAGTTGTGGCTGATTTTCTTTCTGATCGGATGTCAGATTCTCAAAGGGTTGAGAAGAATACCAAATGGACTGGCAGTATGTTTTTGGTGCATTTGAGATATGCTGCCCAAGAAAAGTTCTGCTGACCTGCTGCATGTTCCCAGCGACTTCTGGGTTTATGCACATTCCCATTCAGACTATACGCGGCAATGCAAAATATAAGCATGTATCAAAAAAGGTTAAGAAAGAGTTATTTTTGACAAAAACACCGAAGTCGGTTTTTGTCTGGTCATCCCGTTTCAACAGATTTTGATTGACGAGTTTACTGCTATAAGCTTACTTAAATACTTTTGCTCACAGTGGACCGACAACTCATCTCAGTTTCACTGTTAATGACAGTGTCAGAGTCTCGGCCTCGAGTAAAGTCCAAGCAAAAAGGCATCTTTCCCTGAAGCCTACGAACTGCATTATGGTTGAATTGACTCGCTGGATTTTAATGCAAGTATCGGTCATTCCATCGCACGTTGAAGCTTAAACAATTGAATATGTTTAAATAGTTCACCTGTTGCTATATTTTTGAGGAGGAAAAAACTTTACTATCTGCACCAGATATTGCGGCTTTTCCAGATAGCGTGAACGTTTTAGATGGCGTCTCTGGAGATGTTCGAACCCCGGACAAAATAATCGACGGAGTAAATGACACAAACGATGGCCGACACACATGGCTGGCCCCAATCGTTCCTGGTTTGGTAAGAGCCAATTCACCTGCTCCACGACTTTATGTAAATAGAATAAAACTTGTTACAGTGATCTACACTTAATTCTAAATAAAATTGCTGCAGTATCATTGCTTACATCTGCTCTTGTTAGCCATGCAAGCCAGTACCCTGTTATGGTTAGGGAGGTTTATCCCAGCTGGATAAACAGTAGAGAGCTTACCACTGCTTTATACCGACAAATGTCATGATTTGGCAAGTTAAATTCCAATACTAACTCCTATTGTCTTGACGTCTGCGAACACTCACCTATGTTCTAGTCTAGGCATACAAAATCTCCTTCCAGAGCTGGGAAATGCTTACTTAGTTTCTGTGACTTCTTGCTAGCTGGACCTGGAGATTGCAAAGCTTTAGGCATTTGTTTTCATGTATGTCAGACACCCAGTTAACCCCAAAATAAAATGAAGAAAAATTCTCTCTTGACATTTGTGGTATTCTTTTTTTCATTACTGGAATAGAATATTGACCTGCTTCACGCGGGGTTAACTTTTTATGTGCATGTTGTGAGGACATTGCAAATTTAAAGTCCACAATTGCCTTTTATATTGCAGGTGAATCGGGTCTATGTTATTTTTGATCAGCCGACTGTTGTATCATTGATTAAACTCTGGAATTATGCAAAAACTGGTACAAGAGGAGTAAAAGAATTTGGGGTACGTTATCTTGCTTTTAAGCAAAAGGTTTGGTGCATATTAAAACAACTATTATGAAATTGCATTTTAATAATGTTAAGATGTTAACAGATATTTTGTAACACATAGACATGATATGGAAATTACTATTAAAGCTGTGTTAACTGTTGGGAAGATTCCACAGGTTTGTCGTTTTTCTCCATACATTCGGTTTTACTCTATTGAGAATGTTATCAGTTGGAATAGTTATTAACAGTAATAATATTGTTTGCGGTATTTAAGGAATCTGATTTAGTGATTACTTTTCAAGCTGCCAAAATTACTCATATTGTGAATAATCTTGATTTATTATAATAATCCTTGCATTTGATATAGCGCTTTTCACATCTTCTAATCCTTAACAATGACAACATTATATTTGTATAGCCCCTTTCAAGTCGGGAGGACGTCCCAAGTCGCTGGAAAGTCAGTTTCACAAAGCGCTTCACAGAATATACTGTAAAGTGAATTGAATGTGTATATTTGTGGGCGAAACGTGGCAGCCAATTGCGCACAGCAGTATCTCACGAATAATCGTGGATTGAAGTGACCAAATTTATCTTGATTTATTGTTTCACAGCTGCTTGTGGATGACTTATTAGTCTACAATGGAATCCTGGATATAGTCAGTCATGTAGCTCGTGGGATCCTGCCAACTTGTGACCCTATTATCCCATATCATACCATTCTCTTCACGAATGATGAGAAGATTGCTTATAAGGAGAGAAATACGGTCATAAGGTATGTTGAGTCAATTGTATTTGTTCAAAGGAAAAACGATCATCAAAAGAGATCCCCTAAAGTGCATCTAATGATAAAATGAAATAATAATAATCCTTGCATTTGATATAGCGCTTTTTCACGTCTTCCAGACGTCTCTAAGCGCTTCACAGAATATACTGTAAAGTGAATTGACTGTGCATTTGTGGACGAAATGAAGGGAAGTGTCATCTTGATATGTGACAGATTAGTATAATAATCATCAATCAATTATAAAATGAATAATTGTATTGCATTTCGTTTCTCCCTCTGGCATTTGAGTTAGCTTCTCGAGTACAATTCAACTAGAAAATAATTCACGCCTGAGCTTATTTTATCTGGACTTCTGATTTTTTTTAAGGTCTTGAGTGTGGTTTCAAATTCTTGTAAAGGCATTTATACAGCCCTTTTTTCACTTGATATCTTAAAGACACACTGGTACTAGTGATCAGTTAAAGATAACCTGCAAGTCAAGAGTAGAGCTTTAATAATGACAAACTGAGTGTTTCCAGTTTTATGCAGGTTATTAATGCACGAAAAATTATTACTTCCTGACTTATATCATTATTTTAATATATATGGTATATATAATACACAATATAACTGAGTAATAATGAATGAGAAGGAATGCAATTTTTTAAATATTGTGGGGATTTTTTAACGCAATAGAGGCACTTAGCCAGAAGGAATTTTTAAGTAATTGCCATTACCAGCGCTGTACGTTTTCCTCCATTGTATCAATTATTCTCAGCTGCAGAAGTCTTTGAGGTGTGGGTTTTACAGTGGTTCTCTGCCCATCAGAGCCTTCTGTTTGCTGAACCTATATTTTCACATGAGATTTCATGACCTGTGGTTGCATGCTTCTTCAAATCGTCTCTCTCCTTGATCTTTAGCACGCAAACCAGCCGGACCAATGACAGGTAAGTCTTCAGAGAAGCATTTACTCTATGCCACCGTGTCTCGTATATGTACAGCATGCTGCCCTGTGAATTAAATGTGAAAGAACGTACACAATGATTTTGCTTCATTTCGTTTTATTGTGGGACCTGTTCACACTTGTCTGCCTTTCTCGGCAACATCCACCGCAACTTGCACGTAGCAGGGTAGGGCCTCAGAGCGCTTCGTGTCGATAATGGGGCACGTTGCAGGAAAACCTGAAAGAGGGAAATAAAAAGCTTCAGTAGTTTTACACAACACAGTCTTGAGTCATGTAATTTTTCAGAGAAGCTGCGCTCCGCAGGCCCCCCCCAAAAAAAAAAAATTGTCTAATGTGAGCTGTGCTTACAGCAAAATAAACGATTTGTCAAAATTAAAAAAAAGTTAAATAACTAAATTCTGATTAGAAATATCGGGAACAAAGATAACGTACTGCATATTCAATGAATAAGGAAGGACCATACGATAAGGAGATTATCCCTTCCTTATTTGTTTTGCCTCTGTGTACACTTGGATTATTCTAAAACACCTGGATGTGACATACCTATGGTTGTTCTGTTACCATGTCCTCATATGTAATTTGGCTTGAAGTGACCTTGCTTGCTCTAAGGATTCTGTCTCACATGTAGTGGAGTACTTTTATCTGTTTTTGAATGTTCCTATAGCATCTGTCGCAGAGTAAATAAAGCTGTCTTTTCTTAGTGGAGACAGTGGGACTATAGTTCATGATTAACTCCAGCTCTAGCTGAGTGTTGCTAAAGCCTGATCTGACACCAGCAAAAAGACAGCAGGGAACTAAGTTGTCTCACCTTTTCTGTTTTGTTAATTGTACTTTATTCCAGCAATCAAGTGGAAGATCAGGATGTGAAAATGACCAATGAAAACCAAATTATTCAACGAAGCAAGAAAAAACAAACAGCGGATCCAGGTTAGACACAGATCCTTGTACAATGTGATTCTCAATATCCTTTGTTCTGTGCTGTCAGATTTCAGTGTAGTGCGGTACTGAATGGTGTTTCAGTACTAAATGGAGGCTCCACACAAGCCTCCACCCCTCCAACTCGCCTCTTCTATACCTTTTTCCTCAAGTTTCCTCTTAAATACATTAATGCTTTTTTTTACCTCAACCATGGTTTCTGCCAGTGAGTTCCACATTTTCACCAGTTTCTACATTAAAAAAGTTCCTCCTCAACTCCCTTTTAACTTCCACTTTATGATTGGTCGAACGCTTTGCTTTTTAACTCGGTTTACTTTACGTTATTACTCTTTATAAGACTTATTCCATGTGAATACTCCTGTGTAAGCTACGACTAACCTGTGTTTTTTTTTTAAAACCTTTTTTGCAGCTCTGCGTCCAAAAACCTGCATGACTGATCAGGGGCAAATTGGAAGAAGAAGGTACTAGTAAAGGTGGGGACTGATGATTCCCTATTTGCTTCCAAGGTCAGAGGACAATGTTTCACCCCCATTTGCTGGAGACACGGCTCCTGCCAGTTCCTTTTCTGAAAATTGACAGCATCTCTTTTACAAAGCAGCAGTAAACCTATTATCACACGTAAAATCACATTGATTTACCGGACATTCTTCTAACATCATTCTGGCTTAACTCGTGTCTATTTTGGGTGTTTGTCAGTGAAGGGAAAAGGGAAAATGTCAGTACTGGGAAAGGAACGCTTTCCATTTTTTGCACACAACGTCACCATCAAGTTATTCCAGGTCATGTACAGCCTGACCGGATAAAGAAGTCGAAAGCGAGAGCAGGGGCTAGTTTTACTCGGTCAATAATGTGCCTTAACCCTAATCACAGAGGAGCACCCTTTTATTGCACCATTTTGATTTGAAAGCATATATTTCTATTCTTCCCTCCATCTCAGCCATCCGTGCGACATTTCCGTGAGTGAGATTGCCAATGTTTTATGCAAGGTTTTCGACCTGTGGCCATTGGCAGGCTGCATTGAAACTGCCCAGTCTCATTTCATGTAGAATGCTTCAATGCTGATCTATTTTAGATTTCAGATCCTCCACCTGGAAAAAAAAAAGGTGTTTTTGTTTGTGGCGGAGGTGAATTTTCTTTAGTTGCAAAAAGGCCAACGTCAGCATCGTTGGCCAGATTTGAACTATTATGCGAAGGACATCAAAATCCATGGATTTGTTTGGGCAAATTGGTGCCTTGGCGACCAATATAAGGTTTTTTTTTAAAAGAGCAGTGGTTTAAGACATAGAATAGCTTCCCGCTCCTCGTTTGAGCCTCGGAATCAAGCCTCGGAGTTAAGTCTCACCTGAGAGTTTGCTGAAATTATATAGTGTCCTTGTTACAGGTTTGTCCAAACAATATTTTGTTTGTTGGAACAGCTTTTGGAAATGCAAAGTGTTAAGTAAATGTGCACTGTATTTTGACAGGCCTGTCGGATCAGTCTGTGTTGTGGAAACATTTGTGGAGCAAATTTGTTAACCTCGCTTGAGGATTTTTTCAAGTTTGCCAAAACTTCCAACACAGATCAAAGTTTCCAGATACTATCTATTCACGTCTGGTGCATCTATCTAGCTGCGTCCTGTAAATAGCTGCTTGAGTTCTGTATAGCCTGAGAAAATCTTGATATATCCGTTTAAATAAATACTTCTAAGTACAGAACAGGCTGCAATGTGGTATTAACGCGGTTCAATCAATTCCCCGTTGCATCTTTAAAAAGACTACGTTTAGAATGCACTTTCTGTTAGACGGATGGATGAATGGCCATTAGATTTTTGTTATTAAAAAAAATTGGCAAACTTAATAGCAATGAACTTGTGTTCAAGCAGAATTTTCATATAGATCACCTTCAGGAATTAGGAATCACCGGGTTTCCTTTGTCCCCGGTACAAAATTGGCACTTTTTAAAAACCTGGCCAGCTACCACAAAGTGACCTTTTAAGAAACAGTCCGTTAAACAGGAAACTGTTCTCCATAAAAAGAAAACTATTTATTAAAATATTTGAGATGGTTGTTGCTTTGAGCTTTCAGTGGCGTAATAAGAATGCAAAGAACAAGCCCGTGTTAAGTTGCATTAGTTATTTTTTTCTCATGTTGAGAACTGTTATTGCTTATGTCAATGCCTCACTTTTAAACCCAAGCATTACTATTACAAGCTCAGACCCGGGGCTTTATATGCTTTTTTTCACCCTGCGTATTGCCATTGGTGGGTACTTGTGCACGACAAGTCTTGCAATCCTGACAATGTTCATGCTATTTGCAGGAATTGGTAATGTATTAAGTTTTTGTCTTGTATTTAGACATACGTCTGGATTTATTTTTTCTACATTTGTCATGTGATAACTGTAAATATGTATTCATTGTGTAAAGAAAGCTTGTACTTATTTTTAATTTTAAGATTTACTGAGAAGTTTATAAGTAGTTTTACAGTTCTAAATAAATCTAAAAGTTCTAATCAAATGCAAAAGTCTTACTGATGTATTTTATTATCACTTTTGCACCATATACTAATGCAGTGATTGTAATGGACAGTGGGGAATAAATAAATCCTGTGAAAGCCACAATTTGTTGCAAATTCAACTTGCCAGATACTATCATCTCCGTGATGTTGGCTGGAGTTTCTCAATATATCAAAAAAAACAGGTCTGTGTTGACAGATTAATCAGAAATATTTATTATGGATCAAGTATCAACAATGAACCTTACATTGCATTTTACATTTCATATGTAAACAATAAAACATCAGTGTAGTACGTCTGTCTGTTATAAAGTTTGAAAAAGTGCAAAATAAGGAAGACATGAGTCTCAAAATTTAGGTTAACAATCGATAACCAAGTCTCCTAAATAGTAACCACCCGATTTCCCGATTCCTTAAGTTTTCGGGCACATATATTTAATTTTTAAGTTACGGCGACGTATTGAAATTTATCGACTTAAACTGCAATATATTGAATACAGTACACTATGGGTACACACACCCGAACTAATTGCCTCACCCACCCTACCATTGACGGGTGGCCTTCTGTCACTTTGCCCCCACCCGCTGGAACTCCAGCCCACAGTTCCTCCGCCTCACCCCCTCCTTTGCCTCGTTCAAAACCCATCTCAAGACCCTCCTCTTCGACAGTGCCTTCGGGCACCTTCCTACCACCCCACACCCACCACCATCCCTGATCCCTTCTCCCACCTCGGGTGATGAAACACCAGCACCTCGGGACATCCTTCCGAAGTGAAAGGCGCTGTACAAATGTCATTTTGTTGTTGTATCTCTTATTTTGAAGACATCTCAAAGATGCTATATCAAATGCAAGTATTATTTTATGAAGTTATTATTGATTGAAAACAGTTGATTGTTGACACCTCGTAGCATCAAAAACAATATAATTGAACACTGCGGTTATAACAACCATAGTAATTGCTATTCTCTGTTCCCCATTGAGAGAATATTTTTGGCATCTGCAGTAGCATCAACTCGTTTCTTCTCTGAATTATTTTCTCCAAAATATTACATTCTGCATCTATATTCAGCATTCGTATAAGATCCAATTAGCAATACTTAAATAAAATACGGTTTAATTCCAAGCAAATCAAATTGAAATCTATTTTAATATTTTACCCAGCAAATGTTTGATATTGAAAATTAGTGAATGAGCAGCTGTTTCCTGATCATTCCATAAGTATTCAAAGTTCCAGAAATGAAAAATATTCTGGTTGGGTTCACCAATGTCTAAAGTATTTTTTTACTAATGGGATCATTTCTATTTATATTAAGTTTAATATATTAAATTCAAATTTAGCAATAACTGTTCACCCACAAAATACAATCACTCCACTTTACAGTATATACTGTGAAGCACTTTGATACATGCTCTTGACTTGAAAACCGCTGTACAAAATTATGTATTAACTCTGGAAAAAAAGTTTTTTTCCTGCTATATAGGAAAATTCTCAGCAGTGTCAAATTCTAAATAAGATGTACAGTGCTGGTCAATCCACCTGCTATAACATAACCTGCTGAAAGTAGGAGTTTCTGCTCAAGCTCTTGTAATTAGTAAACTATCAAGCCATTGCTTGAATATAACTTGTTTATTATAGTAATGTACATTTAATGACCAGCTTTTGTAGTCTAATAGAAAGCACAGCGTTATTCAGCTGATTCAGCAGATCTAATCTATGAACATACCATATTCCAACTAGCTATGCAAATAGCACCTTTGCGTTTGACTAAAAGCTGAAAATTTGCTTAAAAATCACCTGAACATGTTTGTTGACTACTACATAACCACCTGTGTCAAGATTTTGGTTACTGTATATACATGACATTACATAAGATTTAAACCACTTAAAAGGAGGACCTGAAAAAGGGGTGGGGAAGACTTGGGATGGCCATGCTAATTTGCCCTCGGCTTTTATTGGAACCAGCCAGCAGGAATTCATATAAAAATCATAATTAACAAAACTTACTTAATGTCACTGCAAAACAAGAATCGATTTGTGTTTCCGGGAAAAAAAAACTTAAGAGTTGGATGCACATTTCAAATAAAAAATAGAAAAATTGAAAATGTACTGCAAGTTAATATTAAAAATGAATGTAGTTAGCGTTGTATAATCTTTAGATTGACTTTCTGATGCAATCAATAACTGCAATAATCAATCTCCACCCAGATTCGGTTCGCTGTTTAAAGTCACAGCCGTGGGTTAATGTAAGAACTCTCAGAAAGGCAACCACGCAATTAATCTCAGAAGTGACCACATATTCTGCAATATTCAAATTGCACAAACTATGTACAGTACTACAATCAAACTAAATAGAACTTTAGAAATATATAAGAAATCTGCCTGATAGGCCACTGCAATCGCACAGAGCCAATCTTAAATAGTGATGTCAATATCAATAGATTCACCCACTTTGTAACTTTAATGATGGATTACGGTATTGAAATGTTCCAGAATTATTTTCTTCCTTGAAACAGAACAATCAATTTTATAATGCAAAGCCGTTGTACTATTTTATATCAACATTTTGCAAACGGTCCAAATAAAAATTAACAATTGAAGTGAGATTCTTTAGAAAAGGAACATTATTTTAAACCATTCTTAAACTACAACGGTATTTGGTATTGGTACAGTTACAAGCTGGTGTCTTTAGTTGAGTAATGAATCAAAACAAGAACTCTGGCAAGAAAAGTTTTTTTTTCTATTCATTCACCCTAAATCATTCACTCAAAAGTTCATCAATTTTGCCTTATTAAACATTTGCTATTAGCTACTATATCTCATTCTATAGAAGTACTGCTTAATTTCTTCATCACTGAAGTCGTCGTTCCCCTTTAGGCGTCGAACAGTACTTAAATTGATAGCTTCTTTCAATTTTTGCTTGGTGATCGACACAGTTCCTGGTTCACTCCCTACAGATTGCCCCTTCAGCAGAACATTACAGGCATGTCTGCTTCGTTCAAATAAGGCAGCTGCAACAAAATATATGTAAAATCTTAGGCATCTGTTCCTAGGGACATACATCAATAATTCTACTTTGTCTGAGTAACATGGCTGGAAGGTGATTTTACACATGATTAAAGCAATGAACTTACTCGTAAAAGCAACTACATTCTCGGTGCTGTTACTTAGCTCCAGGATGATGCTTGGATGTGATGGATGAACCATATACAAATACTGCTTTTTCAGAGTAAAATCTGCTATCACCTGGAAAACAAAATAAAAACAAGTAGAATAGCAGTCATGCATGTCATCCCTTTTTTAAGGAGAGAAAGGAAAAGTATGTAATTGGATATTATGCTGCTGCAAGCAAAAGCACTAACAAGCATTGTAGCACAATGTGGAGCAGTGATTTTCAGAAATACAAAATACAATAGATTAAAAGGACACATTTAGATGCAGGTTTGAACAAGAACTCTCCAGCCAGAATTTGTACATAAAGTTTTGAACAATATTAATATAAAATACATCAATGGGGCCACATTAAATCAAGACATGGAATTTGTTTTAAAAATATATTTTTCAGTAGTACAGTATTTCCATGCTCAATTCGCAATATACTTTAAGAACACCCGAGTTGCATCAAACTTACTGAAGAGTTGGTTTCTGTTGCAAGTTCACCCCAGAAAAGAAAGGTTGACCTAGACATTGTGTTGACTGAGGAAGCTTGGGGGCTGTTTTCACTGAACATCAATTCCACCTCCCACAGAGTCTTCCCACTATTTCCGTCCACGATAATTACCTAGAGAAAAGGCATTATCAACACAGACATTTCGTTATTCATCAATATAAAGAAGCACTTCCATTAAAAAAATTTTTTCCAAATTTTACCTCAATCGTTGCTTACCTGTAATCAAGTCAAATTGTTTTTTTTTCATTTCAATGGTTTAGAAGGGCTATTTTCTATATATGGTACATTGGCTGCTTGTCCAATTCAAACAGAATAGTTAAATGACATAATGCCAATATCTTCACGATATCATACCTTCTTTCTGTCCTTTTCAATGACATCTTCAATCAGAAAATCAAAAACTCCATCGTTGTTAAAGTAGCCAGGTACAGGAGGACTGACAAAATAAAGGTTTTTACAAAATGATTCATTAAATAATGTTCCCTCCATTTTTAAGATAGTGATTAAAATCTACTCATTTCCCTCTTTATGACTAAGTTGGACACAAATGTGATGTACAAACACAAAAAATGACAATCCAAACTACACACAATGATGTTATATTAATTAGCTAATCTTATTATAAATCCTCATTTCAGTTATCAGTAAGCATTTACACGATTTTTATACAAACAGGCATTACTGCCCTATATATACAATTAGACGAAAGGAAAATATACCATCTAATCTGAGTTGTATTACGGCTCCAAATGGTTTGTAAGTTTTGTCCATCCAGAAGCTCAATCATGTTACTGGTGCTGATCAACAGCTTCCCAGCATTATTTCCCAAGACATGCACACGCTGCAGATAATGAGCGGTCCGGGATCTGCCAGAATTGAGAGAAATAAGAGACATTCATTTTGAAGATCGTGGATTACAATAGTTTCTGTGCTCAATCTTGCTGGCCAGAAACGTACCGATTCTAACTATTACGATAATTTCCTAATTTAATCTTTATTTTAGCTATCAAGACTAATACACAAAATCTTTGCTTCCTTTCACATAATACAATTGGCTCTTGAAATATGACTAAATTGTTGTGAATTGAAGTGTTTACAATTTTTGAATAAAAATGTTTTCCATTAGATTCTATAATGAATACCAATACAAGCCAAATTCCAGCCAGAATGAGACTGACCTGTATATTTCTATCTGTCTGGAATCCTGATCAGTCATTTTCTCCCACTCAGGATCTGATTTAAGTAATCCTTGATTTAGGTTGGACCCCTGAGGCTGTGTTCCAGTTGCCTTTGCATAAAGATCTCTTAGTGCCATTCCTTGAACAGTTCCTATAATTTGTGAAGAATAGGTTGAAAGTATAAGAGAGTAAACCTAGGAGAAAATAAGTATATTTAAAAGTTGCTCAGTAAATGCTACTTAACTTGAATAAAAAGAACATAGTAAACTCCAGTGTTGGTAATGTGAACCAGTGGACTGAAGTGTACAAAGCCTTGAGAAGTGTTGTGGTGAACCAGTTGACCAATAGGATTACCACTCCTGCCAGACAAGAGCAAGAGGATAAGTTCCATCACAGATCCCACCTGAAACAAAACACAAAGTTTTTTTTAAAAAAAATGCAGACCACAATGTGTTGTGAATCAATAACCTTTCATTACATCACTTTTAATAATCATTATTATTATTATCATCACTTACTACATGGACGAAGCCCCACCCAGTTTTCTACACAAATTGCATATACCAAATATCTTCAGCTGAAGCTTTCTGCCATATGATGCTGGCATTGGATTGATGGAGATAAAAGAGCAAAGAAAATATTTAAAGACAGTAAATAAGATTACCTGGAAATTATACTGCTGTAAATACAATGATACAAAACTAAGACTGCAAAAAACAATGTTTGCTCCATTTCATGACTGTTAAACTTAATGTTTTAGGAAGTTTTGAAAAACCATAGTCAAAATAAATATAAAAAAGTTTATTGGAAAGTTCAAAGAATACTTGCACCTGAAGTGTTCTAAAATATCACGACAAAAGCATTTGCACTGTTCCCTTGCACTATCTGCCAGTTACAATCTATCTTACAAAAGACAATCACTGTGGAGTAAATCCTATGAAGAACTTTGAGTCATTGACAATATCAAGTACTGTATTATTATTACCTGTTGATGGGATCTAAAAAAGATCAGAAAGTCCTCAACATCATCACCATCCAAATCTGGAAGTATCAACGCAGGGCCCATCACCGAGACGCTAGTAGCAAAACTCATATTCAGTTTCCACAATGTTTCTCCTTAAATATAATGCATACAAAATTATAGATAACCACAATTCAATAACAATACTTTAACAGAAAATACCACAAACTTTTTCCCAGAACAAATTAATAATATGTACTGCATTTCAATGCATTGAGAATCAAAATACATTACAAAACAAACTTTCACATAAGAATTGGCTTATAAAATTCAAAACTCGAAGATTGGTACTGATTCACAGTATGAACCATTCCATTAATAAGCATGTTTTTATAGAAAAATCTGGCTATGTTACATTATTTTTGGAGTATAGTTAATGAATTTAACAAGAGGATTTTAAATTTGATATGAAAATAAATGATATTTTTTATACTTTTTAAAAAAAGTTAATGCGCCGTAAACACAAATTGAACAATTTAACAAACTGCTCATTTTTTTCAAACAATGTCATCAATCATTGCTGAAATGATAAAAGCAGAAAACTTGTAATTAGTTAAGTGTTTGTCCTACCCTTTTGTTTGTCTCTATTTCTTCCTTTCCCTCCTCCCCTTCACTCACTCTGAAGGTGCTGAGGTACTATTCCATAGAAAACAGGCTATACTGATATCTTATGTCTTCATCGGTCATCCGGATAACAATATGAATGATACATATGCTCTCGGACAAATACATACCAGTATAAGAATCAACTGCAGTAATTAGCTGCAGTTGTCCAATGATCAGGCATCCAGAAGACTCTTCTTCCCCACCCAGCTTTTCTATCCCACATTGCACATGCTGAATATCCTCTTCCAAACCTCTCTGCCATAGGAGGCTCCCATTTGTTCCTGAGAGGACAGCCACAGATGCACAGGGAAATGAAAGGCCTGAAAAAGCAAAGGAAAAGAAAATGACTTTACACAGAATAACACTGCTATACAAAGGAACTTTAGTACAGGAAAGAAACATTTCTTACCTTGAAGATGATGAGCACCAATATTATTTTGCATACCAGGGGTATGGTAAGCTTTTTTCCAGACACTAAATTCTTTCGTCCAGACCACAGAAACCTTACACTAACAGAGGGCGTTTCCCGTACTGGGTCCCCTCTGGTGCAGCATTAGGATAGAAATTAAAGCTATCCATCATTATTACACAAGTTAAACCTATCCTCTTCACAACCAGATTAACTATTACTGACTTATTATTATATTCTGCAGAAAGACTGTATTCATTATCTCTAATAAATTGCAAGTCAGACTGAAATACTACATTGAAGTAATAAATTCCACATTCGCTGCATGTGTGCAATAACATATTTAACTGCTGCTATCCAACCGTGTTCACTGCCACTAACCTGTGAAGAATTCAAATACTACACATTTAACCCAGAAATCAAAGAGCTTTGTGAAAATTTCATATAGTAATTAGAAATAAATGTTAGATATATTAACACAAATTGTGGGCATCTATTTCACTGATCCCAAGATTTTGAGGCAACAAGAGAGTGAGCGTAGTGGGGGAAGCATTTACAATGTTTTTCAAAACAAAGCGCAAAAAATTAAAGATCTAGATTAAAGGAATTGATTTTACATTTCTTCAGAGAAAATTCTAAAGGAAACTTGAATCTTACCTACAAACTTACTTCTCCACATTGTCAAATAGAATAGAAATCTAGCAAGCTACCTATAACATTCTACTCTCCTCCAAACAACTTTGTGTTGTTCAACAATTGGCCACTTACAATTGTGATTATATTTCTCCATAGAGTTAATTACCTTCTCTATTAAAGTTATTTGATATCGACATTCTGTTTTCTCTTAACATTGATCTATATATTTATGATCAGTTGAATTGTTACATTAAAATGCCCTCCCACTTACATCCTTTAACCTTCAAAGAGACAGGGCAGTAGCTTTCTGTGGAAAACGTAAAGTTGGATGCACTACAACTAAGGCTACTTACTGGACTTTCAACTGTAGCTGCTGTCTTAATACTGCAGAGAAAAGTCACTGCTTTTGTTTTTATTTTAAAGATTTTGTAGAGTTTACCTGCAACAATGATGATCTAGTACAAATGTTATGCAAGACAATACTTGAACTGCAGTGTCGGGTATTGCGAATTTTGAATACTGTACTAATACAAACAATAAGTGTTCCTCAATTATTAAAATAATCCCTTACCTTCAGTAATACACAATCCATTAATATTACTGCTGTTCATATCTTTAAATGCAAACAGCACGTCTGTAACTTTGTCTTTGTTCACATCCCACAGGGTAATAAGGGGATAGGTTACTGCAACAAAAGAATCAACACAAACATGATGCATTTGCTCAATGTTGTCTCTTAATGTAATTTCTTCTGCTTTATTAACTTGCAGTTTCCTGGGCATTGTTCTGCATTTCAAATATATTATGAATGCTCGAATGCAATACAGCTAAAAAATATCTATGTAAAACTGAACAGTAATTTAAAAAAAATATGTATTATTACTGATAAAACATTGTCCTTTATATCACATTTTATAAACGCAATGCCAGTGCAACTATCTGTTATTCCTACCTGCATCTTCAAATTTAGTGTTCCATGTCCTTTGTGACACAGGCCTCACCGGACAAGGAATGATGAAGGAAAATGCAAACACCACGACGAGACATATAAATAAAACCAAAAACAAGGCAGCAGTTCTCCATCGCGAAAGCTGCCTAAATCTTGTCAGATTCTTGAAACTGATTTTCTTTCTCTTGGAAATATCAATCAAATCTTGTTTTCTGACCTCTTCATTCCTCAGAGTATTTATCTCTGCATCCAAGTCTTTGTTTTCTGTCATGTTCCTATCCTGCACCACAGTGGGGGTTAAATCGTTCAAAATCCAGAAATTAGTTTTCCTTCAAGCAACACTTCTCCTCAGCCAAAGTTTTCTCCCTGCAAAAAATTTAAATAACTGTTTGATATAAAGTATCACGCACAAAGCCTCCACCTATGAGGAATGCTCTCTGCGTAAAAATAAATCACATATTTCTGAAACTGGTTCTTTCCACTATATGCCGTTTCTCTTTTATCAATACAAAGAGCTTTTGTAGGATATAAATAGTTCCAGAACAAAAACAATTGCTGGAATAAACTGCATAAAACCAGAGCCCCAAAATACAGGACCATAAAAAGTAACAATCAGCAAGTCTAATGTCACATTCGTAACAGCTCAGTGTCACTTCCCAAACAAATTTGTAAAGCTGAACTAAAACCGTCTGGGTTTACTTGAACAAACAAAATTGATAATAATTCTACATACGCATGATAATCCTCGCACTCGTTATAGCCCCTTATCGCAACACCTCAAACGATTTTACTGTTGAGACACAGCAGGAGTACGGACTGTGGTTCGTAGGCAAACGCGGCAGCCGATTTGCACACAGCAACATCCCACAAACAGCCTCACGAAGCCAACGCACAATGTTATCTGCGGGGCTGGGGCTGGGGCTGGGACGGGGGTGGTGTCGTCGGCCCGGACACCGGGGGCGCGGGATTCTCTAAAATCCACCTGGACAGGTAACCGGAGAGGTGGGGTGGGGGGGTGGGGGCGGTAAGGGGGGGACCTCGGTTTAATGTCTCATCCAAAGGATGCCGTCTCTCTTGCCCCCCCCCCCCCCCAACTGCACTGAGGCGGCAGCCGAGACCGTGAGCTCGGAGAGCCGGGCTTGAACCCACCCGCCCACCAGCGGCAAGAGATTTGAGTGCTACCAATCGACATCTCGGGGGTCGGACTCCAGCGCTGTCAAGCACTTCGGAACCCGCTCCCCTCTCCCACCCCCCCCCACCACCCCCCACCACCGCACCGCCCGCAACCGTGAAGGACGCCGGGTCCGGGGTCCCGTACGAAAGGGAGGAAACCCACACAAACGGACAAGTCGAGGAGGCGTCACGTCGCCAGAGCAGCACCGGGTTTGGTCCCCCCCCCCCACCCCCACCCGCCGCCGCCATCCGCCACAAAGTACAGTCACTACGCTCGACGGTAGATCCCGGCCGAAGCGCTTCTTTGAGACGCCTCGAAGACGTGATAAGGCGCTGCGATTATTATTACGATGATGATGATTATTTTTTACGCGGGAGGGGGGAGGGGAGGGGGAGGGGGAGGGGGGGTGTGTGGAGACAGACAGTAACAGGGAGGGAGGTGGGGGGGGGATGGGGGAGGGGGGGGATGGGGGAGGGGGGGGTGGGGGATGGGGGGGGATGGGGGAGGGGGACGACGTTATCGGCAGCATTTCCCAGAACAGAAAGAGGAGACAGTTGCAATCAAGAGCCCAATTCAACGCCATTCAAATTTAAATTTTAAAACAAAAATCCTCACACAAATCAGCCCCCGGGACGGGGGGGGGTGGTGGTGGTGGGGGGGGGGGGTCGCGGCGCCTCCCGCCCTCGCGAGCTGCCCGACCGATCGCGAGCGTCAACCGCCAAACGCCGCCGCCGCCGCGTCACTTCCGGCCGCCGCGCGGGGGCGAGAGCGCGAGAGAGAGACCGAGCCGAAGCGGGGAGTGGGGTGAAGAAGTGCGCATGCGCTTCCCTGCCCGCCAGCGCAGCGCTGCCGTCCCCCCTGGGAACTGTAGTCCGGCGGCCCCCCCGGCAACAGGGAGCGCCGTGGGCGCGCGAACTACAAGGACCGGCGTGCGCCGCGCTTCCCTCTCTCTCACACACACACACACACACACTCGCGCACTCACCCACAAGCTCTTCCCATCCTCCCGCGTTCGTCGTGTGGGAGGAAGGGGGAGGCCGGGCCGGTATTACAGAAGAAGAGGCGCTAACGAGGCCTCGCAGGGTTATGACTGATTTGTTTTTCTTCTCCGCCCTCCTGCGCCTGGCCGGGGTTGTGGCTTGTCCTCTCGAAGCCGTTTAGTTCCCGGCGCGCGTGTGTGTGTGTGTGCGTGTGTGCGCCTTTTATGTGCCTTATGGTGGTGAGAGGCGGCGAAGAAGATCGAAACCCATTTGAATAAAATGTCTGCTCAGGCTCAAATGAGAGCGATGCTGGACCAGTTAATGGGCACATCTAGGGACGGTAAGCGAGCTGGAGATACTTGCGCGTGTTGTTCCCCCCCCCCCCCCACCATCCCTCTATTCTCCCCCCACCTCTCTACCCCCCCCTCTATCCCCCGCCCCCCCCCACCCCCCCACCCCACCCTCCCTCTATCCCCCCCACCACCCTCCCTCTATCCCCCCACCACCCCCCTCTATCCCCCCCACCACCCTCCCTCTATCCCCCCCCACCACCCTCCCTCTATCCCCCCCCCCACCACCCTCCTCTATCCCCCCCCCACCACCCTCCTCTATCCCCCCCCCCACCCCCCCCCCCCCACCACCCTCCCTCTATCCCCCCCCCACCACCCTCCCCCCCCCCACCACCCTCCCTCTATCCCCCCCCCACCACCCTCCCTCTATCCCCCCCCCACCACCACCCTCCCTCTATCCCCCCCCCACCACCCTCCCTCTATCCCCCCCCACCACCCTCCCTCTATCCCCCCCCACCACCCTCCTATTTCCCCCCCCACCATCATCCCTCTATCCCCCCAACCATCCCTCTATCCCCCCCACCCCCTCTAACCCCTCTATTTCCTCCACCAACCCTTCTATTTTCCCTCTACCACCCCTCTATATCTTCCCATTCTCCCCTCCCCCCCTCCTATTTGCTATAGTGGAGTAGTTTTGTTTTCCCTCTTTCCTCCCCCCCCCCCACCCCTCCTCCCGAATGAAGTTTATTATTATTGGTGTTTTTTTTAAAAAAAACAACTCGCTATTTCTTTAAAAAACACACACACACACACGTCCAGGCCTTTGCCCCAGAAAGAGAGAGAAAGAAAGAGAGAGAGAGAGAGGTAGGAGGTGGGGGGGATTTACAACAGTACCCAACGTGTATCTTCTTCGCTTGCACTAGAAAGATGGACCCTCAATTGCAATGTGGGGGCTATAACTTATAGCTCAATGTATGAGGGGGAGGGGGGGGTGAGAGAGAGAGATGGGGGAAGGGGCCATGTGTACAGGATAGGCCCAGAGTGGTACACTGTCTCCTCGTTGTCACTCTTGTTTCGGTGGGCAGTGCACACACACACACTGTGAGTGGTAAAAGAGTGAGCCACCACCTCATAACACCTAAATCAAGGAGGCAGTTTGGTGACAGGGGTAGTAGGGCGATTAGCGGATGTATGTGCATCTCTTCCAGTTTTGTGGATCTAAATTCCTCTCCATTCTGCACAGAGTTAAGTTGTTCCTCATCTAAATCGGTGGTTTTGATCAATTAAACAGGTAATACTACTCGGGGGAAGCACGCTTACAGTAACACATTTCGTGTGCTCTCGAGTAATATTTGCTCCCCAGAACAGCACACATAATCGAGCACAAGCATTTCCTACTTGAACATTCAGTGACCTACAGTTAGCACTTGAGACAGTCGAATTGAAGTAAAATTTCAATGTCAGGTAAATTGTGAGTAAAGGACGGGTGGTTCAGTGTAAAGTATTTGTATCTATCTATGTCTAATGGACTAAGCTTGCTATCACATCATATACTTAACATCTTAGTTAACCAGGGCTGCCCTAGCATAATACAGTATTTATTAATATTGGTTTTGGAATGTCACAATTCCCATACACTGACTGTGAAAGAAACATTTGTCCAGAATGGAATCTATTTTACAATCCATCTAATTGCATAGATTTAATACATTATGCATATTAGACGAGTTGATTAGAGTATATCAGATGGGTGGATGTATTATGTTGACATGTGTAACATAATAAATGTTTTGTTAATTGGGTGTGAGAAAGATCACTTCTGTGCAACAATTTCCACCCATGTCTTGTATTTTCACTTGTTAGACAGGCAAAGCCAGAAACAAGTGTTCCATCATTTATTCAAGTAATCCCTTTAGAGATTGAAGAAATGCATTGTAGCCAGTTTGAAAATCCCTCCCCCCCTTAGTGCATTGATCTTCAGAACATTTTCCTTGGAGGGGGAGCAGAATAATCTATAAAATAATGTCTCGAAGTAGTGAGAATAAAATAATAAAACTTGTAGTTTTGCATCTGTGATAATTCTGTAGCATCAATGATTCTTAATCACTTGGGCACCCCTTGTTAAGATCTCCTTTGGAAGAAACTATTTAAAACTCAAAAGTGAGTGAGGCAGATCTCAGTTTGCAGGTGGGGAAATTTCTTTTCAGTGCATTCTTTGTTTCCATCTCTTTTAATACCAGATTTTAGACTTGACCTTTCTCAGTGCTAGCACACTTGGGTACTGTTGATTTATTTTTGCTGTTATAGCTGAGTTGTATTTAGTTTTGCGGAAAATGTTAATTATTACATTTTTAAGACCATAGTAGGCTGCAATACTCGACTTTTAATGTTACAGTTTAAACTTATTGAACATTATTTATCAAGGTTGAATCAAAATCAAACCTTGGTGAACATTGAAGTTAGGCAGTTACATTTGAAATAGAATTAATTTTCTTCCAAAAAAATTACTGTGTTTTACCAATAGGGTAATGGACAATTGTAAATGGGTATAAGGCAACAATGATGCTTTATATATTTTGAAATTGCATATCCCATATTTCAGGAAATTATTGGAACCTGCTAGCTTGTTCATCCTTTGACAAGCTTTTGTCCTCTATTTATAGCAATAACAGCTTGCATTTATGTAGCATCCTTCACGCGGGGCAGTGTCTCTGATTTAGTGTTATTTTTAAATAAAATACGTGAACAATCAATAGATAATACTTCAATGCTGTTGCTTGAGATATTTTTTTTTCGTAATTCCATGCAGATTTATGGTTTGAGTGAAGCTTCTATTTTCTTACAGGAAAATCAGTTGTGTTTTATTTAGTTGCATTTGAATTTGCTTCCCATATCTCTTTTCATACAAACTGAACAATTTTGGCCCCTTGTTTTATTTATAAAGGTTCAATGTATCTTTGCCTGCCTACATCAATCTGCAAGGGAGTTGCAGAAAAGCCTCATGTTCATCGAGCCGTGAGTCATGAATAATTTTTAAAGCTGTTATGAATATCAAAAGAAGTGTTTGCTTTTCAGAAGTAATTAATGCAAACAGCATAGTTTAGTCTAAATATAAATTGCATTCAATGGGAAACACTACGATAGTATTTGGATGTTTGCAAAGTCTAGAGGAATGATATGTAAGTATCACACATACTTTAGTCATATACGCAAAGTAGTGTTAAATTGTTGCATACCATTCACACTTTGCCTTTATTTTTTTAATGTATAAGTTCTGTAACAACCTTACTACAGTCGAGGCCCAGAAAACTTTCCCCTTTTAAATTTCCTACAGCGAGTAAAAGAAAATCTCTGCAGATGAGGCGCAAAGGTTGAAAATGCCGCGGCATCATTTGGACGTTCAGCAGTGTGTATTCAATTCTTAACCTGTCTTTTGTTTCTGAAAGTGTTGGATGTTGTCATGTGCTGTTGGTAAAAACAGACCATGACCATCATTTATTTAAGAAATAAAAGTACTTTTACCATGCCTCAAGTAACTTCTAATTTTGACAGTAATGTTTAAACTGTTGCATTTTTTTGGTGTAGCCTATTTAAAGTATAATCTGTTGGACTGAGATTTTAAGAAGGATGCATATCCTGAGGTATAATAGTGTCTGCTGTGCATGTTATATGGAGGGTAATGTTTGTTCTGCAGTAAAGATGTAGAATAGTCAGTATAATATGCAAGGAAACATTAGTCCAGTAAGTTGGCTGCCTGGTGATAAGTCATTTTACTCAAAACCAGTCGTGTTTGTTTCCAAGTTCATCAATTTTAAACTGCCTTGTTTCAGGAGATGCAACACGACAACGTGTGAAATTCTCAGATGATCGAGTTTGCAAGAGTCATCTTCTTGGTTGCTGTCCTCATGATATTCTTTCTGGAACGGTAAGCAGTTTTGATCATCCTTTTCTTGCATTTGATATAGCGCTTTTCACGTCGGGAGGACGTCCCAAAGCGCTTCACAGAACACACTGTAAAGTGAATTGACTGTATATTTGTGGGCGAACGCGGCAGCCAATTGCACACAGCAATGTCCCACAAACAGTCGTAGATTGAAAATGACCAATTTATTGTTGTTTTTGGTTTTGGAGGGATTATTATTAGGCTCTGTGTGGAGTAAGGAAACTTGCCCAAGGTTTCGCCCTGACCTGCCTGGAATTGAACTCAGGTCTCTCACTTGCAAGGCGAGTACTCTAACCACTGAGCTACAGGACTCCACAGCGCCTTGGGACGTCCTCCCGACGTGAAAGGCGCTCAATAAATGGAATCTTGTTGTTGTTGTTGTTGTTGTTTTTCTACTTGAGGCAAATACAAACAATATAAAGTGATTGAAAGATTCTAGATAAATCTCTGGTTTGCTCCTCTTTCAGGCTGTTTAGGTAGTCCTCCATGTCCGAGCTCTGAACTTCACAATTTCAATAGAGTACTCTTGAATTGTCCAGGTGGTTTAATTTTTGGCAAGTTTAGACAGTTTTTGTTCATCCCTGGTTTTCATGTGCCACTCCATTCAGAGGTTCCGCAGAGAACATTTGAGTCCAACCGTTGGGCAGCAGTGAACTTGTGAGTTTGTATTTGGGAGCAGAACACAAAACTACGCAAACTGTTTAGCTTACCTATCAAAGCTATTGTTTGTGGTCCAAGACAAAATGTCAAAATGTTCAATTGGACTCGCTTGATATGTCATGATGATTACTTATGTATAGTAATAATAATTACTTATTTAATACTGTTCAGCAGTTTTATAGTGCACTTCTCGTGGTGATCGGTGCAATTTTCACATTATAAATTAGGGTTGAGTAATGCAAATTGTGCTGGTTCAGAAATACACCTATTTGCAATACTGCAGTTTAATGAGGCGGTATAACATGATCTGGCGTGTGCTCAGAAACCGTTCCTTAAACGTTCTTCTGCAATCCAAAAGACTGTCCAAGAACATTTTAAAATAGTTTTCAAGAGCCAACCACACAACGCCCACGGGTAGAGTTCCTTGCATACTCATAATTGTGAAGGTATCTTAAATGTTAGCTATCTGTGAACATTGTATTTTGCAATATTTGTGAGTAAAGATGGTAAGTTTGAGCAGCCTTAAGAAATGCAATGGTAGTTTCGTAAGTTTTTGGAACTGGTGAAGAGAATATAGAATGGTAACTGATGAGCAAAAATTGATGTCATGTTCATTATGTAACAACTTGCTATATGCATAGAAATTGTATCTGCATTGAATTTTCAGTTCACCATTATAATGACATTTAAAACTCTGTCCAACAGCGAATGGACCTGGGAGAATGTACGAAGATTCATGACCTTGCATTGAGAGCTGATTATGAAATTGCTGCAAAGGAGAGAGATTTATTCTTTGAATTGGATGTAAGTTTAAAAACAAATCTATTTTGTATTTTTGTAATTACTGCAGTAAACTGAAACGATAAAATACTGACAATTTCGTTAAATGCATATTCACTTGGATTATAAGAATGGAGGACTAACTGGGTGACAGATATCTTTTGGGTTGTATACAGTTGTACCCATTCCCTTTGAACTCAAAAGTATTTTTTTGGGGGGGAACTACATCCACAAATCAAACAAAAGGATGTTGATGCATAATTGATTATTATTTCATTATCTTCAATGTAGAATCTTTGTATTTATAAGATCTGTATTATGCATTAGGCTAAAGCGGCCTGTGTGATAAAATATCCAAACTATTGCAACTTATTTTGATTTTACTGTACTTACGAGGGTTTTTTTTTTCATATTCCAGGCAATGGAACATCTTGAAAGTTTTATTGCTGACTGTGATAGAAGAACAGAAATTGCCAAGAAACGCCTAGCAGAAACTCAGGAAGAAATCAGTGCTGAAGTTGCAGCCAAGGTATATTGATATATTGTTATACTTTACTTGATTTTAGTTCACTTTAGAACTTTATATTCAACCTTTGAAAACTGATGTCTTATCACTTATAAGACTTATGTCTTATCAAAAAGGAATCCTTTTTGTTAGGTGTTGCACTACAATTATAAGCTCTGACACGCCACGATAAACTACAAGATGATTAGCTTCTTCTGCTTAGTGTGTGTCCTCTGAAGTGAAGTGGACCTGTGCAACTTGCAACCTGTATTCCAAATTGACTTTGTGTGGGACTTGATTATTTTGCATTCATTGTGTAATTTGAAGGAAGTTGCTGTTTTCTAACCTATCTGGGTTTTCCAACGGCATGATGGTAACTTCAGCATTAAGCCTCCTCATGTTCACTTTGTTTGATTTTTTTTAAAAATTAAGGTGAAACCAACATTTTTACATGAGATTATCTACCTTTGGTATTGCAGTAGTAAACTGAAATGTTTTGCAACTCTAATATTTTAATTATTTTTGAAGGCAGAGAAGGTACATGAACTTAATGAAGAAATAGGAAAGCTGTTGGCTAAAGCTGAACAACTTGGAGCTGAAGGAAATGTGGAAGAATCGCAAAAGGTCATGATGGAAGTAGAAAGAGTGCGCACAAAGAAAAGGGAAGCAGAAGTACGTACTGTATTTCCAAATTGATTATGTTATTCAGCTCTTTTGCATAAACCAGGACATTTATTTTCGCAGGGTTGTCGATGAGAACCATTAAATAAATTGGGGGAGCTTGCTTAAATTACTGAAATATCATAATGCACAAAAAAGAAAGCTTTGAAAAATGGGTATGCAACGACAAATTGATGTATGATTTTTCATTGAAGTGTTATACTGTAAATTAGGTGTTTAGTTTGTGTCACAGTCCACGAGCTGAAAGCTTCTAAGATTATTAGCACGCCGAGAAAGGAATCTCCCTCAGTCTGCCACACTGAGGCTTAGAAATGTTTTTCTAAATTGTAGTCCCAAAAATACAGGCTTCTGTTGAGGCAAAAATCCAGAGTTTTTAAGTTACTCCAGTGCCTGTGTGGCACAATATTAATTGATCAATTGAAGTTGTGGAGCTCAAGTAGAGTTTGGAAGCTCCAGTGCCATTCTGATTACAAATGAAAAGCCAACTTAGCTGAACATAATTTTAGTTTCATTACTGGGAAAAATCGCAATTTAATACTAATACTGTTTTTGCTTAAGAGAGCAGTGTTAAATATTAATTTAAAATGTATGCATTTCCAGTGTAAAAGAGCTGTGACCTTTCTTTCCAAATGACTGGAAAATTGCGTGGGCATGTGAAGCTTGCAGGGCACACATAGCAGAGAAAATTTCTTCCATCATAGTCTGAAGCCAACTCAACCGGAATTGAACCTGAGCTTCTTATCTGTAAAAATTCTCGAGTGATTCTTAAGAATCATTAAAAAGTTACTTATTTTCATAAATACATTAGAATATACAGCACAGAAACAGGCCATTCGGCCCAACTGGTCAATGCCACTGTTTACACTCCACATGAGCCTCCTCCTGCCCTTCCTCAATTAAGCCTTCAAGCACAACCTTCTATTCCTTTCTCCCTCATTTACCTATCGAGCTTCCCCTTAAATATATTTATGTTATTTGCCTCAAGAACAGCATGTGCCACTTTCCCACTACTCTTGTGTAAAGAAATTTCTTCTAACTTCCCTACTTGATCCATTTGTGACTATGAAGTATTCCGTTCTCTGCAGGATGAATACAGGAACTCAATGCCAGCTTCCAGTTTCCAGCAACAGAAGTTGCGTGTCTGTGAAGTTTGTTCGGCATACCTGGGTCTTCACGACAATGATCGTCGTCTTGCTGATCATTTTGGAGGCAAATTACATTTGGGATTTATCCAAATCCGTGAGAAACTGGACCACTTGAAGGTACTGTCATTTAAGGAGCAAAATATTCACCTGAAATCTATTTTCATCAATGTTGAAATATCACTTAGCAACAGATTTGTTCTAACCACATTGCATTGTGAATCAGTTTAAATAATAAAGTCAAAAAGGGTTATTTTAATATAATAATAATAATCCTTGCATCTGATATAGCGCTTTTCACATCTTCTAGACGTTTCAAAGTGCTTCACAGACTATGCTGTAGAGTGAATTGACTGTATATTTGTGGGCGAAACATGGCAGCCAATTGCGCACAGCAGTGTCCACACAAACAGTCGTGGATTGAAATGACCAATTTATTGTTTTTTTTTGAGGGATTATTATTAGGCTCTGTGGAGTAAGGAAATGTGCCCAAGGTTTCGCTCTGCCTGGAATTGAACCCAGGTCTCTCGCTTGCAAAGCGAGTGCTCTAACCACTGAGCTACAGGACTCCACATTTTAACATGATAGTGTACCATTTTCAGCACTTTAGGATTGTTAATTCTAGATTAATTTATTGTGTGATTTTTAATATGAATATTAATTGATGTACATTTGTTCCCTTACTCTCAATTACAGAGAATTGTTGCAGAGAAACAAGAAAAGAGAAACCAAGAACGTTTGAAACGGAGAGAAGATAGGGAACGAGAAGAGAGGATGAGGAGGAAGTAAGGTTATTTGGATTAATTGGATATCGATTTAGCTCAGTCGGTAGCACTCTTGCCACTGGGTTATAGGTTCAAACCTACTTTAGGAAACTGCTCATCGTTCGGGTGTCATTTCAGTTCAAAGCATTGCATTGTCTGAAGTACCATACTTTGGGTGAAATGTTGAACCAATCGAGTGCACGTTAAAGAGAACGGAGTTTCTACCAATATCCTGGCCAAAGATTCTGCAGAAAAAATTGGTCATTAGTTGGACCATGCCATGCACGAGATACCTGCTGCAAGTATATATATTTTAGTGGGTTGTTGGAGCATCACAGGATTAAAGCTTGCTTTCGAATCTCAGCAACTATAACTAACATTTATAATAGTGCTGAACTATTTGGCACCTTCAGACAGGAGACTCTGTAAACTCCCATCTGCATTCTCAGCGCCTTGGGACATCCCTCCGACATGAAAGACGCAATACAAATGCAATATTGTAATGCATAGATAGACTGTGTGTCATAGAGTGTGCTTATATGTAAATGCTCTGAGACGTTATCCTATTTGTAGGACACTATAAATGCAAAGTGTTGTTCTTGTATGTAAATAACTTCGTAAACATAATTTTTACAGGTCCAGATCACGAAGTAAGGATCGCAAGAGGTATGTTTTTCTTTCATTGTACAGTAAAACTGCTTAGAATGTTACAGATTCGAAACAGTATTTTTAAGTAAGCGAAACCAAGTCTTTACATGCTGTGCTGGTTTTGGTGAATTGCATTTTCCTGCCTTGCAAGCCAGAGATTTCTTCATTTTCTACTTATCTCATGAAGCTATTATAGCATGATCAGTAAATATGTAGTCAGTGATCATGCTGCTTTGTGTAGAAGAAAAAATGTCTTAATGGAATGGGGTTTATTTTTGTTACCCTGTGTCTCCATTTACTTGGTGTCCTGGTGTTACTTGCTTCAAGAAAGTTTAGAGTTGCAAAACTAATATTATGTTGGGTGGGGGGCGGTAGAGAAAATGTTTATGGATTTGACAAATTTCTGGTAGAGATACATATCAGTTTTATATTTAACTCCTGCCCCATATTTGTCCCGTTCTACTTACTGCCACATATTCTTCTTTGACTAAAAAGGCAATGACAACCAAAATAACTTAAGCATGAAGAGCTGTTCTCAAGTTATTTGTGGGTGAATCAAATGAGAGATAGTCCTGCAACTCAAACGCACTGTAGAGCTTTCTGGCTAATCAACTGCTTTTATTGCTTGATCTGAGTGATTGTTTATTCAATGTTTACTTTAGTTCTGCACAGTCCTCTTTAATGCTTTTCAAGACTTTTTATGTGGAAGGCCCCATATAAATCCAAGTTATTACAGTATTCTTAACCTCATTACAAACTTGATTGTATATATTAGACTACCAACTATTTTTCTCTCCTTACCCCCATATTAATTCAGCTTTATTACATATTAATCAACGATTGTAGGACACAGCTGTGCACAATTGGCTGATGCATTTCGCCCACAGTCAGTTCACTTTACAGTGTATTTTGTGAAGCGCTTTGACACATCTTGAAGATGTGATAAGGTGCTGTATCAAATGCCAGGATTATTACTATATATACACACAAGTCAGTTGACTCCAGATTAATGCTTGTAAACATTCACAGGTCAAGATCAAGAGATCGCAGGCGAAAACACTCGGGTTCTCCTGCTCACGAACGACGTAAATCAAGGTCGAGATCCAGAGAAAGAGACAGGCGTCGGAGGCACAGATCCCGCTCACGAAGCCGCAGCAGAGGTCATCGCCGCAGTTCAAGAGACAAAAGCAGGGAACGGAGTTCAAAACATAAGTAAGACTTTGCTGAAGCTTTTGTAATAAAGCCAAATTCGTGGACATTCATTCCTCTGTAAGCCACTTTGGTAGCAATTTTACTGTTAAGAAAAAAGTGGTTTGTAATCCCTTTTTTGTAACTGACCCGTAACCTGCACAGTCACGTGCTGGTGTGATTCAGATTCACGTCTGGCTTCTCATCGTTTTGTCGATACTGACGCCAGGAAGAGTCTGTGCATGGGTCGTCCTGAAGATTGGTTTAATTTGTAAAATATCAATAAAATAGTTTTTCTTGATTTTAATTTGAGCGATCTACCAGTTTAGGGTGATCCTCTGAATAATGTTTAATGCATTGTGTTCAGCAGCTGTGGTTCTTGCAGTCTCCAGGTGTGCTTCCTGAACTCCTGGAATTGTAAAATACTCTTTTAACCTCCTTCCTTTTCCTATTGTGGTTGATAGAGAGAGGAGTTTAATTCTTTATCATCATCCGCATTTTAAGCGTTTATTTTAACCATGACTGCAAGAAATGTAACTGTAGAAATACATTGCTTTATGGGTAAAACTGTCTAAAATTCCATCTCAAAATCAAATTAACTATAGTTGGAGCTGCTGTTGTAGTTAGGTTTTGAAGCTTTGTTTCTGAGCAACTGTATTTGACTGGCAAATGCTGTACTTGACTGGCAAATCTGCAAACATCACTTCTATTCAGTTTTCCAAACTGCAAACTGATTACCTGTGCGGTAATGGTGAAGCCAGTCACTTTGTACGAAATCTCGGTTAGTTTTGTCAAGTAATCATCAATTTGCCTGCAAAAGTAACTTGGAATTCTTAGTTGGACAGATAACCATCATCATCAATATAATTTTGCCCATGAGGTTTTCAAATTACCTGTTGATCCATACTTTTAATGTATTCACAGATCTTCAGAAATCACTTAAAGTGAAATTAGCAAAACTGTAATCTCAGTGTAATTTATAAATAAATATTGTCATAATATACATCCAGTTTCAACTCCTTTTTTGCATTTTGGTGTGGCATATTCCTAACCATCCAGTTCAATGGTAAATGCAATTAGGCAAATAGGTAGACAAAAATCAGACACAAAGTTGAGATACAATTTTTCTAATAATATTAATTATTATTATATGAATATTATGAATATATATACTTATATGAATAAGTATTAATAATGGTAATTATTATTATTTATCAAACCTATTAAGATAATACAAAGGGAGTACTCGGGTGTGCTTTTTCCCCTTTCCAGTTTCATTTCATTCAGAAGTTGTTATTCTGAATGAGGAACAAAATCATAGAAAATCATGATAAACCCACAAATGGACATTGAAACAAATTGCAAAGGAAAGGAGTAGATTGAGCTGGCCGTAAGCAAAATAAGCAAAGAGGAGATGTGATGAGTACCAGTTCACATGAACAATCTCTTCTCTCTGTAGAATGTCAGTCTTGATATACATAGAATGTATCTGACTTCTTCCCATAGGATCTACAACATATTTCAAATCTCAGACTTGTCAATATATTCATGTAGTGTTTCTTCTGTGCCTTATGTTGGAGTTAAATGAGTGAATGGATGGCATGGGTGTGAAGGACATTTACTGCTCTTCAGGAATCAGTGATGTTTTTTAAAAAGAGGGGGTGGTGGGGCAGGGAGAACACCAAATGATTTTTAATGGCTGCTGTTTATAGACTGCTTTCATAACAAGATCACTTTGACCACAATATTTTCAATGTAAGTTCTCTTTACCCCATAATAAACATCACAGTTTTCATTCCAGTCAATGCTATCTTGTAACAACCTTCCCACTTATTCAGTATCTGGAATGTTTCAGAAATATTGCTGAACTGGTAGACATGTGGAATTGTGTGGACGTTCTATACTTAACATTTTTAAAATGCATTTGAGAGCTCGAGATTAACAGCTAAGGTAGAGAGATATGAAATGAAAAGTCAAATAACTTGGCTTACAAGCAGGAAAGCAAAGGTACTTAGTCATAAATGGAAACACTTCGATCTGGACTATAGTTAAGTTGGATATTCTAAAGTTAATATGGGATGTACTTCTATATATTTATGTAAGTTTTTCAAAAATATATAATGCATGATGTGTTCTATTTACATGATTTGGTGACGGTCTAGAAACAACAACAAATTACACTTGTATAGAAAGGAATATCGAATGAATTGTTGATGAATCTAAAAGTGGAGTTGGAGCAGTATTGGTGACCATATTGTAGAGAAGGAGTCATTGACCTTGAGAGGGTGTAGACCAAATGACGAGTTTCATGAATCCAAATTCTGTGGAAGCTCCTGTTTTTTTTTGTTGAAGAGATTTTGAGCTAACTGAGTTGAAGTCTCGAAAAGCCTGATGGAAATTGATGACGTTGATCTTGAGAAATTGTGCACATTTGACGTGTGGCATCATTTTATAACATTAAATCGGGTGAATTCGGCAAGAACATTTTGCGCAAAGAGTATGGAGCAGGAATCCATGGAAATGTGTGACGTAGTGGGAGGCTATGTTATCTTGTGTTGGTGTTTGCTCCTCCAATGAGGCACCCATCCCTAATCACAAATCCCTACTCCTTCCCCGTTTCTAAACTATTTGCCCTTTAGGTTAATTATCTGAAAACACTCAGGGCAAATCAATCAATCAATCAATCAATCAATATGCCACACTGCATCTTGTTACATTTAATATTGGTTTTCTTGAATTCAAACTTGATGACGTACAACTTTGATTCACTCACTGTAATTTTGTTTTGTTTGGGAAAGAAAAATCAATCGTTGCATGCTTCTTCTTCAATTTTCCTTTTCTTCTCCGTCCCGGAGGCAGTAGGGTATGGCTCCATAAGTGCCAGAAGCCAATTCTCCATTTTTGAGCCCAGATAGAAGTTAATTTTCAAGGTTCATTTATTTATTGCGGAGTCCTGGGCTTAGTGGTTAGAGCAATCGTCTCGCAAGGAAGAGGACCCGGGTTCGATTCCCGGGCAGGGCGAAACGAAACATTAGGCAAGCTTCCTTACTCTACACACACGCCTCTGTTTACCCAGCAGTAAGTGGGAACCCGGTCATTGGTCGATTGACAAATCGCTTTTCCGGGGATAATAATTCCTTCAAAAAATAAATAATTTTGTCACTCAGTCCATGCCTGTTTGTGGGACGCTGCTGTGCACAATTGGCTGCCGCGTTTCACCCACAAAATATAGTCAATTCTCTTTACAGTATATTCTGTGAAGCGCTTTGGGACGTCCCAAAGACGTGATAAGGCGCTATGTCAAATGCAAGGATTATTATTAATCAGTGGACTGAGATTGAGGGGAAGGTCATCTTTTTCTTTTGGCCCCCCCTCCCCACCCACCAATCGCCAAGAGACACAAGCCAATGGTAGCATCCCTACTACACGCTGGCTTAGACCAGCTAACCTGCTTGATTTGCATGGCTCAGTTGTGCACCAGGTGTGCGTTTACCCACTGAGCCATCAGGGGAAGCTACAATACTTGGGGGTTTATTTTAAATTTTTTTGTTTTTAAGGTCTTCACGGGATCGTTCTCTCAGGGAAAAATCAAAGGAGAAAGATCGCAAGGAGAAGAGTGCTTCAGAGAAGAGACATGAGAGTACAAATGGGAAATCAGAATTAAATACAGCAAGTCCAGAAGAGAGAGAGGCTGGCGAAATCTGAAATAGACTGAACCAAAACATGCAAAGCTGTAAATCTGGGAACATTCTTGCAGTCCTCTCTGAATCTTCCCATGCTTCTGTCTAATTTCTCCCCCGTTTAAAAGGTTCATTTTGGTGACGAAGACATCAGATTTCGGTAGCTGTAGATAGCGCTGTTTTTCTGGTAGCGTTACAAGTTTTTTTTTTTCTCTCTCTTCCGAGACAGTTAATTTATATAAAAAAAACCAATAACTTGCATTTATATAGCGCCCTTTACGCGGGCTGGCGACTCGGAGCGCTTAAAATGAGTGCATGTGTATTTTTTTAAATTTAAAAAAAAAGTTATCTTTTGAACTAGCATGGAACAAAATAACAGAAGCTTTAAGGCATTTAAATTGAGTACCTGTCTGATGAGGTAGCCGGTATGCCTTGCCCCCTTTTCGCATTCCACTGACCGCAACCCTCCAGAAAACACCTCTTCATGTTTGATTAAAAGGACATAAGAATTTTACAACCGGATATCCATCTAAATATCCAGGACTTTTCCTTTTCCCTCACAAATCCCTGTGTGTGTGGAAACCCAATCCTAATCCCAAACCTAGCCAGCATATACAAATTGATAGAACATCCTTTGGCCAGGTTACAATGAAGGTCTCATTAAAATTGAAGTGATCTACCTGGAGATGCCATTCCATGTTTAGAAAATCCTTCAACTGATAACTTCTTAGCTGCCTCACTTGAGTTTTGTACGAGAAAACATTTCGGCAAATTAGTTACCAATTAAAGCTGCAATCTACCACGATTATTTGGACTCAACATTAGTAGCTATCAAAGTTCCACGTACAACTCTTGCAATGTCACAATATACATTGGTTTGTTTTTCAGGTTTATATCTTTAAAAAAATGAATGCTTGGATCAGTCCCAGGAACATTGTTTATTTTGGTTCTTGCGGGCACAATCACTTTGATTGTGACTTCCTTTTTGCTGCAGGTTCAGGATCAGAAGCAACATCCATTTAATTCTGGTTACAAATTATAGATTTCTCGTGTACTTCTCTTTTTCTTTGCAATGCAGCGTAAGTGCTAACTTAACCTGTTTAATTAAGTTGGCAGCCTTTGCTAACTGCTTTTTTTTCCCCAGCGTTTGTAATATTCTTTGCTAAAATCACTATCATGGTGGATATCAGTTTTCGCACTTCGTTTATACTTATGTACAGAAATTTGATTTGAGCATAAAATTTGTTAAATGGCAGCCATCCATTTGTATTCTTTTTTAAAAAATCCTTTGTTGATGTATATGGATTTGTCTCTCTGAGTTTACATTTTGACACATTACACTGCAGCGCTGATTTATTTAAATGTGAAAATAAATCCAATTAGCCTGCTTAAGTTAATGTATAATCAAATGTACATTAACTTAATTTTATTCCATATTTTTCACCAAAAAAAGAGAGGGTAAAATTTTCTTTCTATTTACTGTTTGACTGAAGAGAAATCACCATGAAGCAGTCAGATAAAACCATTAGTACCAACATTCCAACTGCTTTTTAGAAAATTAAATGAATACTTGAGGAAACAAATAGTTGATGTTGATGTATCTTTTTTAAATATAAGGCCATAATTTAAAATTGTACTGTCTCTTTAATAAAGGGAAATGGTTACATTCAATGCCTTCTCATTCACCAATCTTTATAAGTTGCATTCATTTGAACCTGAAAACATTCAAATATTGTCTCGTTGCCTATGACATGAAGAGGTTTTTTTTTATTACAAAATTAAGTGTAGGATTTGTGTTTTTAAAATATTTATCACCTAAGCACAACATGGGCTCATTCACAAAGTGAGTATTCCTTCCCTGAATTGTTCCAGGGTTTCGTTAAGGTGCGCGACAGAATGAATCCTCGCTTTACTTATGCATGTGCTAGCTGGTTCTATATATACATAGATTCTAGTACTTTGAAGAAGTAAAAAGATCCATTCCTATTAAAACTAGCTTGAGACAGATGGTCTGAATCTTCATGGCACAAAGCTTGGCTGTTCTTATTGCATAAATTAAATGGATGATAACCTTTTGAGCACCAACTGTAAATATTGTAAGCTGTAATTTAGGTCACATTTTTGAAAAGCGGGTTCAGTGCTTTTAAATCACCCGCGATACTTAACTGAAGCAGAAATAAAATGTTAAGCGTTGGTTCTGATTTCCCTTTGATTTACTTTGTGGAGTTTATTGGATGAATGCAGTGTACTGGACTGTCATTCAAGCTCCTGAGATTCCTGGTACAGCAGAGGGATTTTTTTGCGATCTTGTGAGGTGGTGCATTGATGCGGCGTAGAGGAGGTTATACTTTTGAAAAAAAATTGGTTTGAATCAAATCCATTATTGTGTGTGAACCTTTGAAATGCTCAATGTTGATGAATGCAAAACATAGAAACTGGAAAAATGTTCTGTTCTCTGGTGCATGTCCACTTCAAAAAGATCTTTCCTAATCTAACTTGACCCCCAACCCCCGAACAGTGCTGGGGGATGTGCTTCAGATGAGACGTTAAAACCAAGGGGTCCGTCCGTCTGCTTGTTCAGCTAGACATTAAAGATTCTGTGAAGCTATTTGGAAAGAGAAGAGGGTTTCTTCTTGTGTCCTGGCCAACAACCCTCAAGCAAAAAAAAAATTGGTTGATGACTCATATTTGTGGGACATTGCTGTGGGCAAACTGACTGCCACATTTCCCCCACAAAATACACAGTCCATCCACTTTATAGTGTACCTTTTGAAACGCTGCTTTGAGACGTCTCGACAGAGTGATAAGGCACTATATCAAATGCAAGGATTATTATTGTTATAGCTACACCGAAGTAATATTAAATACAAGAATTATTTTAAACGTTGAACATTTGCTTTATCTGTCAAATAGCCATTCCGTTTTTACTTATGTATACTGCTTCCATTATTATTATTATTATTATTAATACAAGGAACTGTGCTGCTCTTGTACAATCGGACTTTCCTGCATACTGCGAGTTCCTCTCAACTGGGTTCGGGGCTTTGTGACACCTACTTAAGTGTTTTGACCGTGCCTTCAGCTCCCCCCTCGACTCTCTACCCCCTCCTCGCTCCCTCCCTTCCCTCCCCTCACCCTGACCATTTCCCCCCAATGCTCGGGTCCTGACCCAACTGTCCAGTGCCTCGGGACGTCCTCCCGACGTGAAAGGCGCTCTATAAATTAAATCTCGTTGTTGTTTTGAGAGATTAAAAGTTTTCCTGTGGAGTTCTCGGTTGTGTTTGCATCAAAAATACTGATTTGAAGATGTAAGGTTAAATGTGACACTCTTTACTATTTTGCCTCTCTTGAGCTTTCTCTCCGAGGTCGAGCTCTCTCGTTTCCTCTTTCATCAACCAGGCAATTTTGTTGCGTGCAACATTAGCTGCTGGATTCGCCTACAAAATACATGGTCACTACGCTTTACTGTAAATCCTGTGAAATGCTTTGATGCAGGGATCATTGTTATTTTTGTGTAAGTACAGCAAGCACTTTATAAAATACTTACCTGACCGTTTCACAGTTAGAATTTGGCAGCAAAGCTGTTAAACTTTGCGTTACTTGTCGGGCTAAAGTTTGACGCTCAGGATTGAAGACTCATAAGTCTCCAAGTCTCGTAATAGTTAACCGCAAGCAACACTGTGGGTCGCTTGACTTTCAAGGTATATCTCCTCTATGCCATTTTAACCTGCTTACCCAAAGAATATTTTTTACATTATCAGCCGCAAACCAATGTCAGAAGTATCTCGGGGTGCAATTGGCTGCCGTGTTTAGCTCACAAGATAGGCAGCGAAATTTACTTTACCTGTGAAGCGTTTTGAGACGTTGTGGCAGCATTATAAGGCGCTATATCAAATGCGAGCATTATTAATATTATTCTAAATCCAGAGATCGGTCTTGGTGTGGAAAATCGTGTCGATTCGGCAAAGGGGATTTCTCGGGATTTTGGAATAGGAAATAGCGTACTGGCCAGTAGAGGGTGCTTTTGTGATGTCGCAAACGCTTGTAGGCAATAGTATTTCTTGTACCTGTTGTTACTGGTTCTTTTCAGGAGATTGTGGTAGAGATTATATTCAGTTGGCAGCGCAGCAAGAAGGTACAATAGGTGTGAGTATAGTGAACGTCAGCCAAATAGAATTGGTGACAATACATTTGGTGACTCTTTTTAAGAGGTGATGCTCAGGTGTCCCTTGCCTTCTCTCGTTGTCTCCGCTTTGGGTCGACACCTAAAATTCTCCTCCTTTCCTCCCAGCTAAGGAATCTCCATCGTCTTTGTGAAGCCTTTTGAGGTGTTCGTCCTGCGTGAAAGGCGATCTGGGAGAGCTGAATCAGTGCAAGTTGTTCATGAGTATTCACGAGTGTTCTCATTGAACCAAATCAACAGCTATCCCCATTGTTTGCCTGTCCTAGTTCCAAAATGCGGATAAGAATTGTAACCTTGAAAAGTCTTTCACAATGAATTATTGTTCCTGGGTAGAGATTGTTTCCACTCAGCTCCTGTTAACTCTGCAAACCACAGCCCTAAACAGGTAGGCTGGTCCTAGCTGGACAAGCAGCAGGAAAGCTTGCCAGATAGTGCTATCAATGGCAAGCTATGCGCTTTTAGCTAGTTAGACTCCCAACGCACACTCACACTGGGGGTCCCCAAGCCTTGGTTCATTGCCAACCTGCACCTAATACTTTCCAGGACAGGGTAAGCAGAATGGGTCCCTCCAGAGAGAGAGAGCGAGCGAGCACGCAATCCATTCCAACAATTCATCTCTGGAATTTCCGAGTGTAGGTGGAATGCGAGAAACCTGAGTTTGATTCCTGGCAAGATGAAATGTTAGGCAAGTTTCCTTACTTCACATACCTCTGTTTACTTAGCACTAAGTAGGAACCTGGTTGTTAGTCGATTGGCGGATCGTTTTTCCAGGGATAATAATCCCTCAAAAAACCCCAGCATATTTACAGTATATTCTGTGAAGCGCTTTTAAGACGTCAAGAAGACGTGATAAGGCGCTATATCAAATGCAAGGATTACTATTATTTATTATGATGCATGGAAATCTCAGTTTGGTTTGGATACACTTAAGGATGGTAATCAGTTTCCGCATACATCAGACATCCAGTTGACCCCTATGTGTTAGCACTTTGCCAACACGTGGAGATTACCTAAATTGACCCAAGTTTGCTGAATCATTTTCACA